GGACCCCCTTGTCCCTTGCCGTCGTGCTGTCGCCCCTCAGGTCCCCCCGCGCCCCGCCCCGCCCCCGAGCCCCATCCGGGGCCTACTGGACCCTGCTCGCCCTGCCCCCGGATCTGGGCCCTGGAGTCAGCTCACTGCGCCGCAGACAGCGAACTTGGGTGGAAGTTAACAGGCAGCCGGAGAGGACTGGCCCTGAGGGCCTCACTGCGAAGGACGCCAGGACTGTGCTGCACGCGGATCTGAGCAGCCACGTTTCAGGGTGGAGAGGGGAAAGCCAGGACTGGGAGCTCGAGACTGTGCTGTGGCTAGCGCCGCCTAGTCCATGGGCTCGGATAGACATCAGCCGCGTAGGTGGGTGACCTGACGCTCGGGTCCCACTCTCTCCTCCTTTTCCAGGAATGATTTTCTTCTTCCTAGGATTAGAAATTATAGGTAAACCAGGCGTGGTGGTGCACGCCTGTAATCCTAGCACCTGGGAGGCTGAGGCAGGAGGATTGTCCCAAATTCAAGACCAGACCCTGGGCTACATAGTGAGATCCTGTCCCCCCACCCCCCAAAAAATAAACAATCAGAAAAAGGAGTTGCAGATAAACTAAAGTTAATGCTGCTCACCCTATACTTTGCTGCAATCCTTGTTTCCCTATTGGACCAGTATTAGCTGAGTGACTGCACTTGTGACCTTACAGATTGATTGTAGTGTGAGCTACGTTGTACTCACATTGTAGTTTTGCTGTACAAGATGATCCTGACAAAGGTCGCCGCCTGCTTGGGGCCTCCTGGAAATCCAGGAGCTGTTCTTCCTATTTCTGATCAAAGTCTCCTAACCTCCTTTGGTTCATGACTTTCTTTTTTGATGTTGCGAGACTGTGAGCAACTGCAGGGCAGTCGGTGCTGGGAAGGGAGGGCGCGTCCAGAGCAGGTGTCTGTAACCAAGTGCTGCTACCTGCACATACACTGGCTTGTAGAGATTGGATTGTGCCCCTGACCCCCTTGGACCACATTGGGGAGGTCAGCACGTGGCCTCTGCACGTGCAAAGGAGGTTGTCATGGGACGAGAGAGGACCTCCAGATGATTTAGGGGAAATATCCCAACTCCCGACCCGCTAGGTGTCCGACATGCCGAGTTTGTCTTCCCCAAAATTGAAGAATGAATTCTAAGGAACGGTGGAGGCTAAGAGGAGGAAATTTAGAGGGAAAGGTAGCTTCTGCCTGAGACGGGGACCTGGGGAGTGGGTTGCCCACGAGCCCACTTCTCAAAGGAAGTTTTTAGAACAAAATCGCAAGGTGGGTAGGAAATCACGAGTTGGAAAAAAAAAAAAAAAAGGAAATCACGAGTTGGGCACAAGGTGGGACAAAACCACCATCCACCAATCAGATTACAGGGATAGCCGCTTAGGTAATGTTGATCCGGTGGGGAAGCAGGTCACGTGCCGGTGTTGGTGGAAAGAACAGGATCCTTCGTCGGAGGGATGGTCAACCACGCAGGTGGCGGAGGGGGATTTAGAGTACCGGTCGGTAGTTGTTGTTTATCCCTCGGGGAGGTGTGTAGGTGTGGTCACCTCCTCTGCGTCTTAGGCCGCCTCCAGCCACAGTCCTGACGCATTCTCTGCCTGACTCCCTCGCCTGTCTCTAATAATTAGGCCACTCAATCCAGTGCGACCACTGTCCCTGGAAAGGGGAAGGGAGGATACAGGGAGAACAGGCCTTCTATCCGCCAAGGACGGAGGTGGGGCTGGGACCCACACGCAGAAGGAGCCCCTGGCCCGCCCCGGGCACCGGTACTGTGAGCTCACAGCGCCTGTGGGCAGGCTGACTGCGGGCTGCAAGCATTCTGGTGTCACCATTACGCCCGGGAGGGTGGAGCTTGTCCCCACTGGCCCAAGACTCCTGTCACTGGCCCCCAGGGACTTGGTGAGCTTGGAGCACAAATGGCTTGGCTCAGTTTTTGAGATTTTGTGCCGTCGATTTCCGGAGGCCTTTCCGCTTCTGCAGACTGTGGGCCTTCACTTCAGGCCCAGGAAAACAGTGACTGGGCCCGGGTTTCTCCCCGCCCGGCGCTCTGTCCGCAGCCCCGGCACTGAGGCTGTGACTCAACGGCAGCTAGGGACTGAATGTCCTCACAGAGCCCCCACGCCCACGCCCTGGCCCCGCCGTGGTGGCTGAAGGAGCCCGAGCGCCGCCCTCCTCGGCTCCCGGAGCCCACGTGAACTCCTCCGCCCCTGTGCTTTGCCCTGCAAATGACGCGTGGCCGTGGGTTAACGAGGCCTGGTGACCACGGTGCCTCAGGTCACCCCTCAGCACCGCCCCGCGCGCGCGCAGCCCCGTCCCTGGCGCAGCCGTGACCCCTGTCCTCGCACTCTCCCCGCGAAGGTCCCACTTTGACCTTGTCCTTTCACGGGGCCGCTCTACCCTCCCGACCCTGCGCGGTGCAGTTCTGCTCTGTGCGCAGCTGCTCCCCCATCCGTCCGGAAGGCACCTGTCCTGCTGCGCTCCTCCCCTCGCTCTTCCTCCTCACAGTGGCGCCGGAGCGGTGACAAAGCCTCACGGGGCTGCAGGGTCCCCGCTGCGGAAGTCACCTGATCCGAGCTGTGGGCCGAGACAGTCACTCAGGACACGCTGGCCTTAGAGATTTCTTCTTCTCCGTGTGAGCAGTACTGGGGGTGAACCCAGAGGCTTCACACTGAGCTCCATCTCCAGCTCTTTTTATTTTTACTTTTATTTTGAGACAAGGTCTAAGTCACTAAGTTTCCTAGGCAGGACTTGAACTTGTGATCCTCCTGCCTCAGCCTCCTGAAAGAGTCTATAGGCTCACAACATCAAAGCCAGACAGAGGGAGTTAGGAGAGTTTTTACTGGGAGTCAGGAGAAGAAAAGCAGCTCCTGGGTTTCCAGGGAGGTTCCTAGGGGGGCGCCAGCACCCCGAGACCCACAGCCTCTCTGGCTAAGTGCCGTCTAGTGACCGATCCCACGGGCTCTGTGGAGTTAAAGTGGTTTCCAGCCCAGTTGCTCAGCGTGTAGGGTTTAAAGGAATCGGATTTTAAGGAAAAGCTAGTTATTTTGCATTTTAAATTCCTGGAAACTCAGGAGCTTAGTAGGGTGGGGGCTGCATTCCGCGCTGCCTGAGGAAGCTCACGCTGGGTCCAGAGTCCTGGTTCGCTGCTTGTTCTTATTTTAATTCTCTCTCTTGCTTTTTTTTTTTTTTTTTTCTTTGTCTTTTTTTGAGACAGGCTCTCGCTATGCAGGTCAGGCTGGACTTGAGCTCACTTTGTAGCCCAACCTGGTCTCAAACTTGCAGCAACCCTCCTGCCTCACCCTCCTGGGTTCTAGGATTACAGGTATGCACCACTACACACCCCTTTTTTAAACTGGATCTCTCTATATATTCCAGGCTGGCCTCAAACTCAGAGAGATCCTCCTGCCTCGGCCTCCTGAGTGCTGGGAGTAGAGGTGAACGCTGCCATGATCAGCTTAGTTACTTACTAGACTGGAATCACCCTTTTTACTTTCCTCCTGGGAGCAGCCACGCCCTTGCAGGGAGGGGAAGTATATTGGGGATTGAACACAGGATATTCGATCACTGAACTGCACCCCAGCCCCTCCTTTTTGTGGTATGGAGATTGAACCTTGGGTCTTTGTATTGAGCTACATCCTCAGCCGTTTTTATTTCTTTAATTTTGAAAAAAGGTCTGGCTACATTGCCCAGGATGGGCTCAAATTGAAGATCCTCCTGCCACAGCCTCTTAGAGTGCTGGGATTACAGGCTTGTACTACCATGCCTGGCTTCCAGTCCTTTCATTTATTTTGAGACATGGTCTTTCTAAGCGGCCTAGGCTGACCTCAAACTTGTGATCCTCCTGCCTCAGCCTCTCGAGTAGCTGGGACTACAGGCATGTGCCACAGCTCCTGGCTAAGATGATTTCCCTCTGTCTTACTAAGGGCTGGACGAGGGCTTGTGCTTGCGGGGGACTCACTCTGCCCTGAGCTGCTCTGCAGTCCATGTCTACCTCCCTCCCACAGCTGCCACTCACTCGAGGCTTAGAGTACTTTGGGAGGCCTCTGCAGAACCCACCGTGGCTTACCAGAGCTGGCAGGCAGCTTTAACCCCTCAGCAGTTCTGTCTGGCTGGAGCTCACCTGGTGACACTGAGCCTGCCCGCGCCCTCACCCTGAAAAGGTGCGGCTGTGCTGCTCCTACACCTCCTGCTGAAAAACCCCTCGGAACCAAGCAGAGCCTTGGGCTGGGCGTGTGCCAGGACTTCAGGCCCTGGGGACTGTTGCACCAAGTTTGCAGAGACCAAGAAGGAGGAAAAGAGGGTTTCACCCTCCCTGGGCTCCTTCCACTGAGACTCCAGGTGTCCCCATCAAGCCAGAGGGCACTGTCCAGATGGCCTGGGGCCCACTCCGCTGCCCGCTGCCTTGTGCCCCTCGGGGTGCCCAACACCCTCTGTTTCTCTGGAGGATGGAAGAAAGCCTTGTTTCATAAAGGGTGATTGGAAACGGAGAAACAGACATTCCCAGAGTCCCTTCGGTTTGAGGGTGTGTTACTTTTTTGGTGGTGGTGGTGCTGGGGACAGAACCCAGGGCCTTTACACTGAACTTCATTCCCAGCTCTTTTTTATTTAGTTAGTTTTTTAGAGATGGAGTCTTGCCAAATCGCCCAGGCTGGGCTCAAACCAGCAGTTCTCCTGCCTCAGCCTCCCAGAATGCTGGGATCACCAGTGTGTGCTACCATACCTGACACGAGGGCGTGAGGCTTTTTGATCTTCTGTCTGTGCGTAGTTGGAGGATTTTACTTGAGATTAGATGCACTGTAAGTACTCAAGAAACACACTGGGGCTGGGGACAGTGGCACATACCTGTAAACCTGACTACTTAGGAGGTTGAGGCAGGACGGGTCATGAGTCAGAGGCCAGCCTGGGCAAATTAGTGTGACGCTGTCTCAAAATAAAAAATAAAAAGGGCTGGGGTGTGTCTCAGTGGTCAAGTGCCTGTGTAGGACACTGAGTTAGAATATAATTTTTAAAACTGCTGAGACAAAGGGGCCTGGCTGGGGTGGGACTGGATGGATAGAGGCTAAAAGCTAAAAGCTAATCTAATGAGGCTGGGCCTAGATTTTCCCAGACCCCAGATTTCTGTACCTGATGGGAAGACGCCACCTTCGCCGGCACAGAAAAACTTCATCTTCTGCTTTTAAGAACCAGAATGAAACTGGGTGTGGTGGTGCATGCCTATAATCCCAACACTTGGGAGGCTGAGGCAGGAGGATCACTGCTAGTTTGAGGCCAGCCCGGGCTACACAGTTCAAGGCCAACCTGGACTACATAGGAAGACCCTGCCTCAAAACCAAACCAAACCAAAACCAAACCAAACCAAACCATGAAGCCCAGCAGGGTCTTCTGGCACCTGCTAATTGTCTGGTGTCTGCAGCTCTAAATAGTCAATGTCCAGAGCAGTGATTTTGAGTGACATCTCCTTAACTCTTCAGTAAGCAAAATGTGGTCCATGCATGCAATGGATGTTACTCAGCCTTAAAAGCAAAAGAAATCTTATGTTTTTGCAGCACTGGGGATGGAACTCAGAATTTTTACCCTGAGCTCTATCTCCAGCCCATTTATTTATGTATTTATTTATTACCGGGAATCGAACTCGGGATCTTGCGCTTGCCAGACAGGCGCTGTGCCACTGAGTTATATCCCTGGCCCTTATTTTTTATTTTGAGACAGGATCTCACTTAACCGTTGAGTTGTCCAGGCTTGAACTTGTGATCCTCCTGCCTCAGCCTCTCAAGTAGCTGGGATTACAGGTGTGCACTGTCACACTGGCAACATGGATGAGTCTTGAGGACATTAGGGCAGATAAGCTAGGCCCAAGAACACAATTCTGTGTGAAGCCTCTCCAGAAGGTGCCACGGCAGGTGCCAGGCTGGGGTAGAGGGCAACCCGTGCTTGGAGACAGGGCCACAGCTTGGGAAGAGGAGCAGGTGCTGGGGACGGGCAGTGATGATGGTTGACCACGAAGTGCTCAGTGCCACGGAGCACAGAGCCGTGGAGGACAGATGTCACCCCTGTGTATTTCATGTCTTTTCTCGGGCAGCCAGGCAGGCACCCTGCAGGGCCAGGCACCTGAAAACAAATTCCTAGGAGCGCCTGCATCAGGGTTAACAGAATACGTGCAAGTGGTGCTCAAGGCCTGCCAAAGCGACCTTCACTTGGGGTTGAGCCCGCGCCAGGGAGGCCTGGTGGGGTGCAGGGGTGCAGAACCGGGACAGGCAGCGGGGTGGCCGCTTGAACTCCAGCAGGGAAACCTCGGGGTCGGGAGGGAGGAGTCGGGGTTCCCTGCTGCTGCCTCCTTCAATGCCCCAGACCAAAGCCCCTCCCAACCCCACTTCCTTCCCGAGCTGACCCCCCAACCCGCAAGGCCAGTTTGTCCACTGCGTGGTGGCTTTTGTCACACTTCCCTGATCTTCAAGACCGCGCTCCCCGCCTTGTCTGCAATTTCCTGTGGTCCCCTTTCCCGGTAACATCCCCTGCGGTTTGCTCAGCAGGTTAAACCCCTACGAAAGTCGGTTGCTTCTGTGAAACACTCGTGATGTGTTCACTTTCATTTCTCCTCGGGCGGTGACTCTGTGCTGTTCCTAAACCTCTGGAAGGAGAAGTACATTTAATCTGAGTTTTTTTTAAAAATGAGCATAAGTTAACCATCTATGCTCTTTGTCAGTGAGGTCTCAATAGCACTGTTCCACAAACTCGGAAACTGGCTCTCCGCACCGTCCCAGTGTAAGGGCACGTTCACAGAGCGGCAGACTTGCAGGCTTACGATAGCAGAAGTTAGAAGTCAATTAGAGGCCCGTGATGGGCCCGGGGATATAGCTCAGTGGCTTAAGCGCCTGCCTGACAAGTGCAAGGTCCTGAGTTCGACTCCCAGTACCCAAAAACAAAAAACAGACAGAGGCCTGTGACCACAGGCTCCTGCTGCTTGTCACGGAGCTGGCTTACTGCATTCACTCAGCCTTGACTGTCTGTGCCCAGACGTTCCTCCTTACCAATGTGTGAGTCAAACCGTCCCGCTTGTGTTTCAAAATACGCAGTGATTCCAACTTGCTTCAACAGCTTCAAGGCCCAGTGAGGGACACTTGACTCCACCTACACTTCTCGGACCCCTCCCGCCCAGAATGTTCCTGTACAGTTCTGCCTGGCAATATGTGACATATTTCTTTTTGTGTGTCTTTTTGAGACAGGGTCTCACTATGCAGTTCAGGCTGGCCTTGAGCTCACTTCATAGCCCAGGCTAGCCTCGAACTCGCAACGATCCTCCTGCCTCAGCCTCCCGAGTGCTGGGATTACAGGCGTGCACCACCACACCCGTTTTATGTGACATAGTTCTTGTATTCTGTGTAACCAATCATGTGATAACCTGCCACCACTTTGTACTTCCCACCTGCAAACCATACTTAAACCAAACTTAAATCTGACTTGGGGCTGGTGATTTGGACCTCTGGGTTCCCCAGCCGCTAGTGTAATGAAAGTGCAAAGAGTCTTCCATTTAGTTTGATATTGGTTTTCTGCTACATGATATGCAATAAGCCAGGACAACCAATCAACATTTGAGCCACTAGAGAATGGTTTAGGCCAGGCAGTTTGTCATCCATATTGTCCCCCCAAAATAATGCTGGAGGTTCTGCACAGGGCCCCTGCTTCTGCAGTCCACACAGTTCCATGAAGGTGGCTGGGGACTGGGGAAAAGAGGGAACTTCCTCTCTTTCTCTCTCTCTCTCTTTCTCTCTCTCTCTCTCTCTCTCTCTCTCTCCTTTCTTTCTCTTTTTGAGACAGGGTCTCACTATGCAGTTCAGGCTGGCCTTGAGCTCACTTCGTAGCCCAGACTGGCCTCGAACTTGCAATGATCCTCCTGCCTCAGCCTCCCAAGTGCTGGGATTACAGGAGTGCGCCACCACACATGGTCAGGAAACTATTTCCATGTGCTGTTTTTCCTCTTGGGCCCTTCTGTCAACCCTTATTTTCTCCCAAAGTGGGAAAAACCAAAAACACAAATGATATTGTCTTCAACTTTTCTAGGCTGCCTCACTTGTGACTTGAAGGGTCTGTATCCTACACACGCAGTTTCCTGGGCTGTCCTGTGTATGTTGATGTCTCTAAACAACTAGAAGGACTTACTGGTCTCTCTAAATGCGAACTCTGAGAAATAGATCAGCATTTCACTTTAGAAATAAACCAAATTTATGTCAAGATGTAGTTTGAAATGTTTACTTGATTCACCAAGCAAATTTGATCCTCTGTAGTTGCTTAAACCCATTGTGCCTGCCTTCCTTTTCAAGGTATCTCTTTTCAAGGAAAACAAAAGACAGAAGGAAGGAGCGGAACAAAGCAGAACAGTGCGCTCGGTTCTGCGTCACCCTGGCGGCCTCACCCGCAGCAGAGATCTGCTGAGACCTTCGGAGGACGGGGCACCGATTTCTCACACAAATCACGCCATGCTGTTTCCCATTTGACATCCAGTCCACTGTGACAGCGCTGGAATAACTAGCCTGCTAAGATGGCTACACAGCAAAGTGAAGAAGCAAACGCGCTCCCAGACCTCAAGGCTGGGCCCGGTGCCTCTTGCAACACTGTTTTCTTGAATAACATTCTTCAGTTACTTAATAGCTGTGACCCAGTTGGGCTGAGACTTCAAAGCTAAGGAGTTCCTCCTTGGACAAACAGTACAAATTCTTTTCTCTCTGTGGGAATCAACAATCAACAGAGGCCCCTGGCTATGAATTGTCCCCGATGATACAGTCACTTAGGGAGAGAGGATTTTTTTTGGTACCGGAAATCGAACTCAGGACCATGTGCTTGTCAGGCAGGTGCTGGTGCCACTGAGCTATATTCCCCGGCCCGATGCAGTCACTTTGGATCACAGATTCTATTTTGGACGTGTGCTGGTTGTCAGCTCACAGTCTCTCTAGCTTTTCTCTCACCCTCACTAGCTGGCTGGGAAGAGATGTGACCCTTTCACCTACAGCTTCTTCACGGCCCAGCCCAGGGGCTCTCTGCCAAGAAACACACAGGACTCAAAGGAAAGGACTCTATTTCCTCTCCCACCCTTCTCCTCCCCTCCCCTCCCCTGCCCACACCCTGCCCTCCCCCTCCTGGATAACTCATTCAGTGGCTTGGCTGAAGAAGATCCCGAAAGCCAGGCCCTAAGAGGTAGCAGAATGGAGGCAGCAGCTCCTGTAATCTGGACACTCTTTTCTCTCTCTCTTTTTTTTTTATCTTTTTGAGACAGGGTCTTGCTATGCGGTTCAGGCTGGCCTTGAGCTCACTTTGTAGCCCAGGCTGGTCTCAAACTCACAACGATCCTCCTGCCTCAGCCTCCCGAGTGCTGGGATTACAGGTGTGTGCCACCATGCCGGGCCTGGACACTCCTTTCTTGATGGACCCTTCTAAAATAAATGAATTAAAAATAAAAAAATAAAACAAATGAATTGCAGGATTCTACTTCTCATATGCAAACAAAAAACTGATGAAGACAAGGATGAGAAGGGTTATTTGGAAGGTGTTACATGGTATTTGGGAGGCTGAAATTTCTTTTTTTTTGGCACTTACAGATTTTATTTTATACAGGATCACAAGTGTTCTCTGGGACAGTTCTGAACATAAGAATGTGGGTTTGCAGGGTGACAATGGCCAGGCGGGTGTTAACTGTGTCTGAGGGTCACTCCTCTTCACCGCACCTCCCGCGCTGAGCCGCAGGGGTGCTGGTGGCACTGCGCCCATGAAAACACCAGGCCTCTGGCTGTGGCCAGCGCACTACCGGGAAAGAGATGCCAGTGTTTTATAGAATAACCCAGGAAACACAAGAAACTTGTCAGTAGGAAATAACAAGGTGAATGTTTATTTTGTTAATAGCTTTATTTATTTATTTATTATTTTTGTTGTTTTAAATATGTGGTCTTGCTGTGTAGTTCAGGCTGTCCTTGAACTCCCCATGGAGCGATCCTCTTGGTGATCCTCCTGCCTCAGCCTCCCCAGGGCTGGTATTACAGGTGTGTGCCACTGTGCTGGGCTTGTTTTCATGAATTATTGAAGTATAGAGAAAAAGATTTAATATTGCTTTCTTCCTATGCTTCCATTAAATTCAAGGTTTCTGAGTCAAGATTCTAATATGTAATTACACACACACATATATATTTTGGTACCAGGAATCGAACTCAAAACCTTACACTTGCCAAGCAGGCACTATGCTGCTGAGCTATATCCTCGGTCCTATAATTCTACATTGAAGAGGAGTTTAAACTGTTTTAGCTGGGCGTGGAAGCACACACCTGTAATCCCAGCACTTAGGAGGCTGAGGCAAGAGGACTGATGCAAATTCAAGGCCAGCCTGGGCTACAAAGTGAGTTCAAGGCCAGCCTGAACTGCATAGTAAGACCCTGTCTAAAAAAAAGCCCAAACGCAAAATAAAACAAAGCTCTTTTGATGCGGAACATTTCCTAGAAACTGCTCCCTGCTCAGACTTCCGCAGTTTCCAGCACAAAGGTGCAGCCCTGTTTTGTCACGCATCTTTAATCTCGTGGCCGTGATCCCACCTGCACTGCTGGCGCTTAATGTCTAGTGTTTGCATGGGCTGCCCAGGGGGTGGCCCAGGGTGTGTGCATCCTTCTTCTTGTTTTCTCTTCCCTTGTTCGGGGGACTGAACCCAGGTCCTTTGTGCCGAGCCACATCCCCAGGCCCCTCCCGCCTCCAGAGTCTCATGCAGCCGGCCCGTTGGGCTGGGCCCTGCAGTCTTCCTGCCTCAGTGTGGTGTTCTGTCAAATCTCTCTGAATGTGACCCCGTCCCCAGAGCTCAAAGGAGAAGGAGACGAACAGCCTCAGGCTGCCACTCTCCTGTTCAGTGACTGTTAGGGACTCCAGGACAGAGACTCCAGGGTGATCACCAAGGTGTCGCCGAGAGCAGGGCTCTGATTGGCCTTGGCCGCTGCTAGGAGCCTGGGTCCTGCCCTGTTCCCCTGTGAGTTCCTGACCCAGGACTGGGGCTCTGGGGAGGCCCCTGGCTCCCACGCAAACCAGCCTGCTCCCTATCACCCGCACCCAGGACCTGGGAGGCCATCACCCAGGCCCCCGCTGCCCCGAGCCCACAGGCCTGTCCTTGCCTGGAGGCTTCAGTGTGACCGGCACCCTCAGCCCAGCTGCAGGGCTGGAGCAGAAGGCGGAACACCGGCTATTTGTGGCCTTGGGATTCCCGCCCTGGCCCGCCCCATGCAGCAGTGGGCTAACGGAACCCCAGGAAGCTGCTCCCTGCTGGGTGAGGACAGCCTTCTCTCTGTTTCGGTGACTGGGGACCCCACGTGCCCCGCTGTGGAGAGCAAGTTCTGGGGGAAACTCCACGATGCCACACGCACTGTGCAGAGCGCAGTATAAATATATTTCCACGTAGATGGGAGACAATAAATAGGTGGCTGGCAGGGCAGCGTCTGCGAAGCAGGACAGGGCGATGTCACGGGGCTGATGCCCAGGATGTGCCAGGGCCCCGTGGTGTCTGAGGTAAAATGTGAGGGAAACCGGTCCTTTGAGACGGCTTCCCCGCTGGCACAGGCCGGGCGCTGAGGCTACCAGGGCGCCCCCCAACGCAGCCACCAGCAGCGGGCAGATGTCCTCGCCCGTGCCAGGCCCGTGGTGGGCCGCCCTGGGCCCCTCAGCCCGTGCGCAGCCGCAGCACCCTGGAGAGGGGCTCCTTGGCACTGGAGTACATGAGGTAGGAGCCGGCTGCCGTGCTGAAGGCCTCCCAGTCCCTGCAGCCGAAGGTGGGGAGGCGGTGAGCCGCCACGAAGCCCTCGTAGCCCTGCCACCTGCAGGGGAGACAGGGTGTCAGCGGCGTGCGGCCGCCACGGGACCAGCCGGGCCTCCCTGGCCTGGTGCGGGCTGCGATGGACAGAACAGGCCGGGAGTGGCCTTCTCATCTGCACAAGGGAAGCTGAGGCCCAGAGGGAATCGGAGCTGCCCGGGGCCCTGCCCAGGCTCCTCACAGCCACCCGGGGCCCCGAGCGCGGGTGCCAGTCGTGTGTGGCAAATGATGGGTCCTGGGGCTCTGGGTAGGATGAATTTTCCACATAAAGCTTCCAAACAGAGCTGCTCAGACCCCCGACCTCCCCTACAGGTGTCTTCTCTGTGTAACTGAGGTTATACAGACTCACCTTAGCGCTTCTCCTGATATCGCTGCTGTCAAATATTTTATATTTGGATTTTTTTAATACTTGGATTTTTAAACCATATAGATTTATTTTGTATATGGATATGAAGTAAGGTAGAGGTTTATTTTCTTCTGGATAGATGGTAAATTGTATGAAATCCTTTTATTAAACAATGCATCGTTTTCTCACTGACTTCAAATACTATATATATACATATATATATATTTTTTTGTTTGTTTGTTTATTTGTTTGTTTTCCAGTACCGGGAATCGAACTCACAACCTTGCATTCGCCAGGCAGGTGCTGTGCTGCTGAGCTAAATCTCCAGCCCCTTCAAATACAATATTTATCACATTAAATGTCATAAGTGAGTGGTTCTTCTGGATTTTATTTTATTCCACCTATCTTTTACATTTTCATTTATTTATTTTGCAGCCTTGGGGATCAAACCCAGGATATCAGTCAGCATAAGCAAGTGCTCTGTACTCCCAGCCCCACTGCCTCTATATTTATTTTTGGAAAAAAAAAAATCACCCTGCTACACTTGTATGTGAACAAGTCCTCCTTCACTATTACCATCTTTCAAAAGTTACTGGCATCTTTACAATATTACTCTTCCACATGCTTTTTAAAGTTACTTTATCATGTAGAAAGTCTCCAATAGTGAATTTTATTTTATTTTATTTTTTTGAGACAGTAATCCTCCTGCCTCAGCCTCCCGGAGTGCTGGAATTACAGGCATGCACCACCACGCCCAGCTCAGTAGTGAATTTTAAAGAAAATCAAGAATTTTTTTTAGTAAAATATAAGTGACCAAAACTATTTCAAGAGAGATGGAGAACAGTGCCCAAACTCCTCTTATGAGAACTTGAGCAGGTTTTCAATGGGATGGACTAGACCCGACATTAGCCTGAGGTGTGAGATCCCAGCACTGCCTCTCAGGATCCAGATATAGAAGTTCTAATGGATTTCCTTGAGATCTGGACAGCATAAAAGGACACAGACACCAAGAAGAGCTCGCTGGGGTGTTTTCCTTGCAGTAGCCCGCCCTGTGTCCTCCAGGGTGTAATTTTATCTTTATTTTTTTCCTTTTTTACTCAGCCCAAGCCTGCTCTGCACAGCCAAAAAGTGAAGTAAAACTTTTCACTTTTACTTCTTCAAATAAACTTTTAAAAGATAAAAAAAAAAAAAAAAAAAAAAAAAGAGAGATGGAGAGCTGAAGAAGCCAGTAAGCATGCGAGAACCTGGAAAAGCTGTCTAAGAGATGTTCTCAAAAGGTACCAGAAGCCAGGCATGGTGGCGTACACCTGTAGTCCCAGAACTAGGGAGGCTGAGGCAGGAGGATCACTGTGAGTTCAAGGCCAGCCTCTACTAGGCAGTGAGACCCTGCCTCATAAAAGAAATTTTAAAAAAGATACCAGGCCCAGATGCGTTTAACCTGATGATCTTGAAAAGTAGATAAATCTATTTTTCAAAGTATCCTAGCTCATTGGTGTGCTGAAAAAACTTTGGTGTGTAATTAGGGAGTGAGACTTCAGGCCTACCTGAATAAAGCGGTGTACCCAACAGAAACCAGAGACCAATTTTGTTGTGTTCTGTTTTTTGTTTTGGTCTTTTGAGACAGGGTCTTGCTTTGGAGCCCAAGCTGGCCTTGAACTCACGGCAGTCCTCCTGTCTGGGTCTGCTGAGTGCTGGGATCGCAGGCGTGTGCCACCGCGCCCACCAGGCTCAGAGACCAATTTAATTTCCTCTTAAGATACAAAAGTCTTATACACAAGCAGCCGGGAGCCAGCAGCGGGTTAAATAATTATGCTCATCTGTTCCTGGCGTGCAGGGAACCTGTCCTGATAAACACCTTGGGAGAACTGCACTCGTGCTGCAAACCCAAAGCAACTGGAGGCATGAGGGACCCTCAGGGTGCTGGGCAGCGCCCGGCTGGTGCTTGGCATGCTCTCCGGCCCCTGCGCTGCAGGGATTCTTAGGTAGGGAAGAAATCCAAGTAAGGCACAACAGCTTTAGGAAAGGAGAAGCAGAGCTGCCTCTGTTCCCAGGGGTAACGACGGCCCCAAGTCCATGAGACTCCTGAAGAGAAACAACAGCGTGGACAGTTTGTCCAGGTGGTGGGGCACAGAACCCGGTAAGCAGCAGGGATGGAAGTGAGACTCTGGCCCTTAGACCGACAGTGCTGGGGAGCCAGGGAAAAACGCAGCACAGCAGCGCCCCGTCTGTGTGAGGAAAACCAGCCACGAGGGTGCCCGTGTGCCCGGCCGGCACGGGTCAGCAGTCGGGGCCACGCGTGGGGACATGCAGCTCAGCCGTGTGCCCCGCAGCGAGGGTGAGCCCCGCGAGGACAGCCCCTCACCTGTAGATAATACTGTTCACTGAGAAGGAGCTTCCGTCGAAGGAGTTGGCCACCACCAGGAAGTAGTCCTCTCCCACCGAGAAGAACTCCCAGTCCAGGGCACTGCAGAGGTGAGCGGGCGTGAGACGCGGCCAGGGCCGGCCAGGCGCGGGCGAGGCTGGGGCCTGGGCTGGCACGGCCTCTGGGGATATGGGTCACTCTCAACTGCCTCCTGCTTGCCGCGCACTGAACTTCACTCGAGAAGGCGGAGAGGGGCTGCCCCAAACTCCCTCTAGGTGGGCGCCTAATTCTAGCAGAGGGGCCCAGGGTTCAGGGCGGGTCAGGCTGCGCCATTCCGTGGTGGCCAGGAGCCCGCCCGGGGCCTTTGGAACCAAATCCCATGCCGCAGCTTGCTTTTCTTGCTTTGTTCTGAGGGTTATGGTTTTTTCCCCTTAACTTCTAAAAATTGTATAAAATATTAAAAACTAAAACTAGAAATTCTATTCGACCCAGCTATTCCCCTCTTAAGTTTCTTCATGAGGGAGTTAAAGTCATCATTTGTAAATTTTTTTTGAGTCGCGATCTCAGGATGTAGTTCAGGTGGGCCTTGAACTCACAGCAACCCTCCGGGCTCTGGTCTGAAGGTGACCGTGGCGCCCTGCTCCTAGGACCTGAGGGTGCAGGTTCGGCTGCATTTTTGCTCACAGACTCAGGAAGAGCCCTGTGCAGTGGTGGTCATGTGGGGTCTTGGGTCTGGGTCCCATGTGGTGTCCTGTGGCCTTTGGTGGCCCTGACTGCACATCAGACTGGACCCACACCACGTGGCACACACAGAGCCCCTGAGGCTCCCCAGCCTCGCGCTGGCTGAACACTTGGGTCCCCATCCTGGAAGCGCGGGAGGGTGATTTCGCCTGCAGCGGTGGCTAGAGACACACTCCTAGACCTGCGTCACAGGGGGCGCCGTGGGCACAGCCTCCTGGGGTAATCACGGATCCGCCCTGGCTGTCTCCCCACAGGACAGCTGGCGTGCAGGGAGACGCAGGGCTCTGTGCCCCGTGCCCGCCTCGGGTCCTCCAGGAAGGGTGCTGGACGCCGCACACGCCCCCGTGCTCGGCCCCCAGCCCAGTACCTGCAGGTGGGGATGTCCTGAAACTTGACAAAGGCCTGCGCCGTGACGTTGAGCTCGTAGATGACCGAGTTGATGACGTAGGAATCGTTTTGCAGCTGCATTTCCACATCGTAGCTGTGACTGTTGGCGACGGCCAGGAAGATCCTGTCCCCGATGCGGAAGACCTCCCAGTCTGCGGCACCAAACGTCTGGGAGGGGAGGGGGCCGCTGTGGGAGCGCTGCGCCCGGTGCCAGCGGCAGGAGCCCCGCCTCCCGAGAGCCCCAGGTCCAGTCCGCAAGGCCAGGTCTCTGACCGCAGGCGGCGACCCCCGTCCCTGGGCTCCCGCTCTTCTGCAAGCCACGTTGCCCCCCTGAGGGCCCCCAAGGAGGGAGTGTGTGTGGGGTGTGTGGGGCAGGAGGTCAGGAGACCCTGACCCAGAGGGGGAAGAGTGCTGGGGAGAGAGGGACATCGGGGGCTGCTAGTGAAGGCAGCACAGGGCAGGGGCTGCCAAGTGCGGGACCCTGACAGGTGCAGGGTACAAACTCTCTCGGGGACCCCAGCCCCAGCCCCTCCATCAGCAGAAGCGGGGAGGGTGGCGGACATACAGGCTGGACACAGGGCCTGGAGCTGGTACTACAATTTCTCCCTGTGCCTTCCACTTCTGGCTCTGGCTGGAAACTCGTGACCCTGACCTTCCGCCCACAGCAGCTGCAGACTTGCGACGTCCTCGGAAGGTGCACCTGCTCTCAGGTGCAGGCAGAGGGCAGCGAGGGGCACTGCTCGGGGAGGGGCCGCACCGGGGGAGACCACAGGGACTCGGCTCTGGCCACACTCCGTCCGCACCACCTGTGTGGCACGGAACGCAAGGGAGGCCACAGTCTGGGGCGGGGGTCAGCGGGCAGGGTTCGGGGCTCAGGGGGTGGGGTTGAAGGGGACATTCTGGGCGGAGAGACCCCCAACACCCAGCTGCTCATCTCAAACCCACGTCGTGCTCCTGCACTGCATGTGGAGTTCAGGAGCCAGAGACAGCTGCGGCGGGCTGGACGGGCCCGGCTAGCACCGGTGACGCAGAGCTGGGCTCTGCACAGGTTCAGAGGGGTTCAGGGACGTGTCAGGGTTTCCACTGAAACCACAGGTGCCAGGAGCCCTGTCCCAGGACCAAGGGACTGGAGAAGGGCTAAGCAGCGCTGATTAAATCGTATGTATGACACTGTGATTATGTGTTTTGCCAGACTTACATGCATATGTTTATGTATGTGTACAGTCACATGGTCACGTTATATATGTGTGAATATATGTGAGCTCACTTTATAGCCCAGGCTGGTCTCAAACTCATGACAATCCTCCTGCCTCAGCCTCCTGAGTGCTGGGATTACAGGTATGCGCCACCATGCCCGGCTCATACATAGGATTTAATCTACGTGTTTTATTTTGTCTCATACACTTTTTCAGCAAGTTAAACATAAATACTTAGGAGGGTCATACTTGGATACGTGGAAAAATTTGAAAATTTCTCTAACAGTCTTTGGCAGGCACTTAAAAAACATCTAAATTTATCTTCCCTTCATCTTCCTGGTCATTACCTATTTTACTTTTAATTCTAATAATGAGAAATTAGCTTTAATGTTGTAAGTAGACAATTAATCAGTGCTCAAATCTTGCAATCTGAATATTAATTGGGAAGATACCTCTACCTTTGTACTGAGTGAATTAGTAAACTCCCAGTTTTTGTTTCTTTTTTTGGTATAGGGAATTAACTCATGACCTCATGCTTGCCAGGCAGGCGCTGCGCTGCTGAGCTATATCCCTGGCCCCATTTTTTTTTTTTTTTTTATGTCTCTGATTTGTCCTCACTGTTATTCCTATCAGAAAGCAGTTCTTCTTTCTAGGGGATTTAACACCATCTTGGAACTGTTACTGCCAGTTTGTGGTCTGCAATGATTGATCACTATATGTATACACTGCAACTCAGTACCCCTTTCCAAGTACTTCTGCACCTTACAAAACATAGCGATGGGAGGAGGTGTATTCTTGTATTAAACACATTCTTTGTGGAAAAAGAAATAAACAGCACTGAACTTGGTACGGCAAAGCAAGGCCAAGCCAGGCTCCCAGAGCTGACCAGCTGTTCACAGTCCAGACTCCTCGGTGGGAGACGCCAGAGTCCACTGTGAGTATGGAGGAGCCACACCGGCACTGTCAGAGAGCTCCCAAGAGAAGAGAGTCACCGAGGCACCCAGAGAAAGAGCGACCAGCCCAAGGAAGCGATCTCAGCAACACCTGGCGTCTTCAGAGTCACTGAGCGGGGCGGGCGCAGCTTGGGCAGAGCTTGCTGTGTGCCACCCCTGGGTTGCAGTCCCAGCAGCGGAAGAGAAAGTAACGACAGAAAAAAATATGCAACTAATCTTCTACAACCAGTGAAAGGAGTACCTTCAGAATGAAGGGAAGACAGGCATTTTTAGATACAATGACAGAAGCAATCGCCCGCAGACCTGCTTTATAAGAAACACTGAAGATGGCGTTTCAGGTTGAAGGAAAATCACACCAGATGGGAATTAATATATGTAGAAAAAGAAGACAGCAGTAGGAATGGGGAGTGTGTGGATGTCTGAGGAAAAACTTCTGACAAATTATGCAGCTTATAGCCTAAGTAGCAGTATGACTTTTATATGTGCCCTCAAGGGCATGCTGGGTGGGCAGGGGAAACGAAACCATGTCCTTGTTAGGTTATTCCGTTGCATGTGAAGTAGTTTAATGTTAACTCAGACTCGGCTGTGATAAGGTAAGCATGTGTCCTGTAACTACTGGAGTAACCAACTTCTGAATAAGAGAGAAAATGGAAGACCATGTATGTGCAAGGAGCCGGTATCCAGAATACAGAGAGACCGTCCACATACCCACGAAAAGGCCAAAAATGGAAACCATGGGCAGAAGACTTGTGTAGACTTTTGCAAATGGAAATAGAGGAGGTCGATGAGCATATTAAAAAGTGCTCAAGGGGCAGGAGATTTAGCTCAGTGGCACAGCGCCTGCCTGGCAAGCGCAAGGTCGTGAGTTCAATTTCTGGTACTGGAAAAAAAAACAACAACAAAAAAGTGCTCACATCCGTGAATCGTTGGGGAGTGCAAATTAAAAGCCAGTTGAGGTGGTTACTGGACCTGCTGTGGTGGAAAGCTGCGCAGGAAACAGCCCCGGAGTCCAGCACAGAGGCCGGCGGACAGGCCGTGATGCCCACGGCAACAGAAAATCGCCCTGGAAAAGCACAGCAGCAACTATCTCTGCCCACAGCAGCATGGCACTGCCTGTGGATTCCACAGAGCCCGAAAAGCTACCAGGCGGAGAAACCAGCAGGGGCTGCCTGGTGGGGAGGGACGAGGGAGCGGGCGCAGAGGGGTGCGGGGCGGGCACGTTGGGAATGGGAGAGGTGCATGCTCTGGCCCCGGAGCTGGGTGGAAGAACCAAGCAGGGCGCTCAGCATCCGAACATGTCATTGTGTGCCCACAGACGAGGTCCAGTGGAAAGCTCTACTCCCAGGAGTGCAGCATCAGCCCCTGAGGACGCGGCTCCCCGTCTGCAGTCCCTGACGCTGACCAGGGTCTGTGACTGGGAGAAGAGGCCACGTGCACTTGCTCTGCTCCTGTGAGCTCAGCGGCCGACTGTGCTGGGGGGACGAGCCAGCCCCTGTAACGTGTCTCCTCTGTCCAGCCCCGTGGACGCTGCTGTTTTTGTTTGCCCAGAGAACCCAGGCTATCACAGAGGGTGTTTAAAGGTCCCAGCTGCCTGGGAACTTGGAAGGGGGTCCTGGGCCCCCAGAGCCGAGCCTTGCAGCCCTATCCCAAGTGAGACCCAGTTTGTTTTCCCATGTTAGGGCAGCACTTGGAGCGGATTCCCTGGCTCTGTGCAGTGCAGGGAGCTGTGCGCAGGAACTCACCTCTGCATCTGCAGGAGGGCACCCTGCAGGCCACTGCACGACCTGCAGGATGGCCGTGATCTCTTGGGTCGCAGACAGCTTGTGGCACTGTGTTAGAGCATCACACCCTCCAGCAGGTCTTGGGAAATGCTCAGAGCCAAGTCCCACCCAGATACGCCCTGTGGGGACCAGCAACTGAGTCTGGGGTGCAGAGACCCCTGAAGGCATGCCCCCCAGGTGGGGACTGTCTGCTTCCCTGGGGACCCAGCACTCCAGAGAGGCAGGCAGGTGATGCTGTGGGGCCTGCCCCTGCCAACTGCATCTCCTACTGGCCTTGGCCCACGCTGAAGGCATCACCTGGGGACGTCTCTGTCATCCAGACCACAGGGAAGAGGCTCAGGGTCACACGGGACAGGGGTGTTTTCTCTCCACCCCCAGGTCAGTTAAGCTGCTCGCCCAAAAATTCCACACAATGCTGCCCAGCTGTCTCCTGGTCCCCAGGCCCATCCCAAGCCTGACGGGCTGGTGGTGCTCAGCGGGAAGCAACCACCGAGCCAAACATGTAGACAGCAGAGGGCGCCGCTGCCTGCCTGAGCCCTGGTGGGAGCTTTGAGCCGCAGTCACCGTGTCCCAGAGCGCGAGGCTGCCCATAGGAGACCCAAAGACAAAGAGTGAGTTCAGGCTAAAGGAGGCCACTCACTAAGCCAAGCAGAGGACCAGGACGGGGCAGAGGCCTTTCCGGATGGGTGCGGTCTCTCTGCACGCTGCTCTCGGAGTCATCATCCCCAGGGCCACCGTGTCCCCCGGGGGGCGTCAGCACTGTCACTCTGCCCACCCCGCAGCGCATGACACCCAAACCAATGGGTGCGGCGGTCACCTGCCCGTTCTGCACCCCGCAGAGGAAACAGGACCCTCTGACTGTACGGCACCGACACTTCCCAGCACGCAGAGGACGCCAATCAGCACACAGCCACACGTGTGTGATATCTGTGCACACGCCAGCAGCACAGCCATGTGCATCCACACGCCCCACATGCACACATATGCACACGTGTGTGGACACACATGTGCATATGCACACAAGTAGGATGCGTGCACACACCGCACAGACACTGCCGCTGGCAGATGAATACCCGTGCAGACGTGCATATGTGTGCACACACATCTCCACACATGCACACACAGCGCACACACTTACACACGCCTGCACACAGGCACACGGGCATGCCTGCACTCCCAGCACGTCTCCCCCAACGGCGGGCTTCCTCCCAGCTCTGAGGGGCCTGCTGCTGGCTTCCCGCACACTGCTGCCGGCAGAGGCCCCAGAGGAGTTGGGGCAGAGCCCTGTGCGTGGCCCTGAGCACACTCTCCGGCTCTGGTGGGGAGGCCAGGCCACCCCGAGTGACGGGTGAGGTGTCCTCCTGCCCCACGGAGCCCGCGGTGGGGAGCCTGCTGGTGGGACACTTGGCGTGGAGACACAGGCTCAGCGAGCACAGCAGAGAGGGGAACGCGAATGCATGCAAGGAGGAAAGGGCAGGTGTGAGGCGGGGAGGGGCAGCGAGGAGGGCAGCAGCAGGACATACGGGAAGTGGGGGTGGGGATGCGGGGAGCCCAGGGCCTGGGAAGCCAGCGAAGGCTTTGAGCAGGGCAATAGGAAGAGATGCGTGCAGGAGCTGGGTGGTGTGGAGACATGGCAGCACCAGCAGGCATGAGAGAGAGAGAGAGAGAGAGAGAAAGAGAGAGAGAGAGAGAGAGAGAGTGAACGCCCGGTGCTGTAGGGCCGCTGTGTGAACCTGCAAGCAGGGCCCGGAGACGGCGCAGGCCTCCCCCACTCCCCATCCAGCCAGAGTCGGGTGAGGACTTACACCCCTGCTGCCTGAATTTGAGATAAACGATGACTTTCCAGCCTGTGTGTATTCCACAGGTGACAACTTTTTCAGGAACAGAAATTATGCCTTTGTATCCCAGAAGTCAAGGTGCCCCAGGCACCACCTGCTGGGGCGGCACACAGGCGCCAGGGCGCAGGCTGCCGGGCCGCTGACTGTTGGTTTCCCTCTGCCGGAGGCACTGGCAGCCTGCACCTGCCCCTCTGCCTGGCCGGAAGCGGGCACACGGCCCCGGGCTGCACCAAAGGGCGGGAGCTATGCAGCCTGGGCTGTTGGGCCAGTCCTGTCCTCTCAGGGCACGGAGGAGAGGAGAAGCCCGCATCGCACCATGCCCAGCCTGCAGCCGGGCTCCTCTCCCAGGGACCTCCCTGGAGTCCTGCCACGCCACGCTGGCACAGCGCTGGTGCCCACACCCACGCTTGCTCACCCGTGTACACACACCCTGGAGAGGGCGCACACTCACACCCTCGAGGGCGCCGTGCCTGGTGCTGTGGGTTCTGGGCACTTTCCACCTCGTCGGTCCCCCAGGGGACTTGCTGCCATCACACCCCCTTTTACATGGAGGACTCCTAGGGGAGCGAGACCCTCCTCATTGTGGTCCACACCAGCACGGCCCAAGACAGCACCATGGAGACCTCAGTCCTGCAAACCTCCGTGCTGAGTGGTGGCAGGGCCATGCCGGGGCCCCCAGTCACCCGGTGAAGAGGCTGGGGCAGTTCCCTGCGGCCGAGAGGGCCGCCCACACCGACTGCGACCCACGGAGACCCCACAGCCTCTCATGCTGCCGCTGTGCTCTTGGGCTTCAGCCCTCAGAACCCCGAGCCAAATAAACTCCCGCAATTCCCACATCACCCGCCTTGGCCACCGGCATAGCAGCAAGAAACAGGCCGAGGTGCAGCCCACGGCTCGGCCCAGCAGCCCAACAGCCTGCAGCTCGGCATGAGACGCCCGGGAAGGCTCGTCTCTCCCTCCCTCCAAGCTGCCGGGCTCTGCCGCCTGCGGAAGGTCCCACAGCTCCTGTTATAAGGCCCAAGAGCCTTGAGGAGCTGCCTTTAATGCCCTCTGAGTAGCCGCTGCCCCTGCTCACCCTGCCCCAGCTGCCAACCATCCCCCTGCCTGTGCCCCAGTCACCCTTTGAACTTGCGCTGAGCCTCGGTGCCCAGGAGCCAGCAAGGACTGTAGAGCCTGAGCCGCTGTGAGGGGGCCGGGGGCCCGGTAGGGTGGGGTGCTGGATCCCCTCAGGACAGCCCAGCTGACCTCTGCGCCTTACCAGGAAGGACTGGAAGAGCCGGAAGGAGCCGACCAGCCAGATGTACAGGTGGGAGTGCACCCTGGTGGAGGTGCCGTTGAAGGTGTTGGCCACCACCAGGAAGGAGTAGGGCCCCACTGTGAAGAACTCCCAGTCGTAGGCGCCCGATGTGGCGATGCTCTGGTGGGGTTCGAAGCGCCGGGTGCTGGGGTTCCACTTGTAGATGACACTGTCGATGTTGTGGTTGTCACCTGGAACCCAGGGCCACAGACAATGCCCACGGCAGCCTGCGGGACCACAGTGCCCTTGGCGGCCCTGCCCCAGGTCCCTGCCTGCTCTGGACGTGTGCCGCCACCAGCGTCCGTCCTCTCTCCCCCCCGGGCCCAGCGTGGTGGACCGTGCTCCTCGACGGCTGCCTGCAGCCCAGGCCCGGCTGCTCCCCTTCTGCTGCACCCTCATTCCTGTCCTGCAGGTCTCCAGGCTTCACCTGCTGCCTCCACCCAGGTGCCCCTGCCCGGCTCTTGGGAGCACAGGGTGGGGCATTTCCTGCCTGCCTCGCTGGCGCTGCCTTGGCCCCACTGCTTCTCGGGTGTCCGGGGCAGAGGACTTGCAGGGCAGGCTGCCACCTTGGTCCCTCTGTCCCCTGGATCCAGGACTGGGAAACCCTGCTGTTGCCCACTCCTGGCAGACCAGGCTACGAGACCCGGCCCAGAGACCAGGCTTCCCGGCTCCCCGGCTGTGCTGCCCACGTCCATCAGAGCTCAGCGCAAGCTGTTCTTGGGGAAGCAGGGACGACAACGTTCAGGTCCCTGCAGCCCATGCACACCAGCACCCTTGGGACTGCCCCTGGCCTGCTGTCCAGGACTCCGCTTGCTCACCTGGACCAGCCAGACTGTGCCTGAGGGCATGCTGGTCGTTGGTGTGCTATTTTCAAACCAGGATGGGAGCCGAAGGCAGAGTTCCCGTGGGCAGGAACCACACAGGACCCTGTCTGCTCCCTCATTAATGCAGGCGCACAGGTGACCGTGACAGTGCTCATCCTGACACAAAAATGTTAGCGAGGTGAGCCCAGGATTAGGCTGGCGGTGTCTAAGTTTTCTTTTTTCTTTTTTGAGACAAGTTCTCCCTCTGTCACCAGACTGGCCTCAAAGTTGTACTCCTGCCTCAGCCACTGAGCACCAGTGCTACAAGGCATGTGCCACCATGCCTAGCAACTTATTCTCTTTTTTTGTCTTTTTGAGACAGGGTCTCACTATGCAGTTCAGGCTGGCCTTCAGCTCACTTATGTAGCCCAGGCTGGTCTAGAACTCGAAATGATCCTCCTGCCTCAGCCTCCCTAGTGCTGGGATTACAGTGGTGCGCCACCATGCCCAGCCAATTTATTCTTTTTTAAATGAGATAAAAATTCACCCTGCACAGAGGTCATGCTCTGCCCTAGGAGTGGATTGCTTCTGGGTCAAAGGCCACAGCTGTCCTACCTTCCCGGTGGTTGGCCACTGCCAGGAAGTGCTCCCCATCCACCTTGAAGGCCTCCCAGTCCCGGGCGCTGTGGGTGGCAATCCTCTGGTAGGGCGTGAACTTCAGCTTTCTGTGGCTCCACTTGTAAATGACTGAGAACTCCTGCCCTTTTTCATTTGGTCCAAAGTTTGCCACAGCCAGGAAGATCTACACGAGAGAAACCAGGTCAGCGAGGTTCTTCTGATGGGGGCAGGGGCCAGAGGCCGAAGGGTTCTGAAGTGGGAGGCCGGCTCTCTGGGTCTGGTAATCATGTTGATTGAGACCTTAAAAATGCCCCTCCCCCCCGTCTTTAGCCCATTACTTGTACTTCTATCAGAAGGAAAAAATCCCCCATCCAGGAACTCTCTGTGCACAAACATGCTCTGTGTGACTGGGTGGACAGAAAACATGTCAGTGCCCTGCGTCTCAGTTACTCTCCTCTTGTTGCTGGGACAAAATACCTGATGCCCAAAATTAAGGAAGGAAAGCTCTATTTCGCTTTCAGTTTGTGGAGGTTTCAATCCATACTTGGCAGGTTACAAGGCAGAGTGGCACATGGCAGAGGGCAACAGCTCATGGCGGCAGAACACAGCCAAAGCAACAAGCATTCAGGGGAGGAATGGCGGCAAGCAGCCTCTTCCTCTCCCTTACATATGCAAACTGTCCACCCCGGGGTGGGTGTAGCTCTCACACCCATAATCAATCAAACTCTAAAAGCCTGCCCCATGGCTGCATGAGGCTTTGGGGGGACACCCAGACACAAACCATAACACTGTGCCTTCCTCCTGTCAGGACAGGGCTCGTCACAAAGAGGCGTGCCAGAGCAGCGGCCCAGACTAATGTGGGAAAGCCCGGCGAGGGAGGCCCCACTCCGCGTGGTTCCGACGGGCCCGGGAAGCATGTCGCCTAGCTGGTGCTTTGCGTGCATGGAGACCAGTTGGCAAAGGAGCCTGGGTGTCTGTTCAGGTGAGGGCACAAAGTATTTTCTCCCATGCTTTTCTGAACTTCCTAATTTCTCTTTAATGTAAATTGATCTACTGTGTAGCAAAAAAAAAGAGAAAAATATCATCAACCAGAAAGAAAAAAGGAGCTTGTTATCTGTTTGCTACACTGGGCTTGGAGGCAGCGGGGACCGTGGCAGAGGTGAGAGCCAGAGGTTGGCACCGTCTGGTTTGTCCAGGTGAAGGCCCTGCTGTCTCGAGGCTCCTTGCTAAGCCCGTGAGGATTCAGAAGGTATCACGGACGCTGTCTCAGGGCCCTGTGGCTTGGAGTCCAGGAGCTGGGAAGAGGGAATTCTTTCCTTCTGTCATGGGGCTGATGCCCTATCATGCCCGCCCCCACCCCTGGACCTGGCACTCCCTGTCTGTTGGGATGTCGCATGTCTGCCCTGTTTGTGGGGGGAGAAGCACGCCTCTTCTCTGTTCACCAGCTCCATAGTCGGAGAGCAGGTTTGGATTTGGTTCCCCAAGGTCTACATGAGGGACAACATCTCAGAAATGGTCCTGTCCTCTGCCTGCAGGAAGCTGAACAGACTTCCCCGGTCCTTGCATGGATAGAAAGCCACAGCCGCAGGCCTGTGCTGGGCCCTTTCCCACCGGGACTGGGCTTGTGAACCCTGAGAAAGAGCGGCTGGGACCTGCGGGGTCTATGGGAGAGGCCCTGCCTGTGGGCACTGTGCCACCCCCTCCAAGGCAGGGACACCGCCGAGGGCGGACTTGCCTTTTTCCCGATGGTGAAGTGTCGCCAGGACTGCGCCTGGTGTGTGGCGATGTTCTGATAGGAGACGAACTTCCCATCCGTCCACTTGTAGATGGCGGACGTGGCCTTCCGGTTGGCCGTGGCCACGAAGAGCCCCACCTTGGGGATGCCGAACACCTCGAGGCCCAGCGTCTCTGAGTTCGTGAACAGGCTCTGGTGCTCCTCCACGTAGTCTAGCTTGACTTTGGCTTGGGATGGGAGATTGTGACCGGTTAGCAGCCCAAGGGTGGGAGCTGGGTGACGCCCAGGGGCCCCAGCCACAGCTGACTCCAGGCCTTGGCCCTGGTTCTGTGTGGGGGACCAGCCCGCAGCTGCATCTGCTCTCGTGGGACAGGATGACATCTCTGCATTCTGTCTTTACCTACTTGATTCCAAGGCTCACCGCTTCTCTGTGTGCCCTGGGTGAGGAGGGCAGAGTGGAGCCTGCTGCTTACCTCCTGCCCCCACAGAGCCTGTGAGCGGTATCTGCACCTGTGCCCTCACCTTCTTGCTCCGGCACCAACTGCCGAGGGCATGCGGCAGAAGCAGTGCTTCTAGATGTCTCTTATCTATGGCCTGGTGGGTGGGGTGAAGGCCAGGACCCCCCAGGAGGGAAGCATCCCTGGGGACCCCTTACCATCGACCAGGAAGAGGAAGCTGGAGGTACTCAGCCTTGCTGCCCGCCGCGGGCCACACTTTAGATGTGTCCCCAGATTAAACACCCTGCCTTTGGGGTGAGTGCCTCAGCCCAAGCAATGTGGCTCTGAGGACAGTCTGGGCCTGGGAACGCCGGGCCTACAGGGGCAGGGTCCTGGCTGCCTGGGTGGTCCCTGGCTCCCAGGCGTTGACCTTAGAAGTGTCCCAGCCTGGACAGTCCAGTGTGTGGCCATCTAGAGACAGCCCAGGCCGCTCGCCCCTTCATAGCCTCTTCCCCCAGCTGGGAGGGGCCAGGGCTCTCCCGCCTGCTCAGGGTGACCGGCGTGGGGAGCGCCAAAGCCTCACCTGCCAGCACTGAGACCCACTTGCTGCCCACGCACAGGTACAGTCCCCTCTGGGCGGCGTCAAACCAGAACTGGGCGTCTTCTGCCTTGGTGCAGGGTGGCCGGGACCCCAGGGTCACCTTCAGGTCAGCTTCTGCAGGGAACCACGGCAGGGGCGTCGGCAGCGTGGGGTCTCAAGGGGAGACCCCGCACAGCGCCCGCCCCTGCCTCTGTGTGGCCACCAGCATTCAGTGAGAGACCAGGGTGAGGGCACACACGCAGGCCACCGCACGGCACCAGCCAGCCCTGGCTGCTGTCCACTCCAAAGGTTTGGCTTCCTGCCCTCTGCCTGTACTCCCGGAACACACTGCCAGTCCTGCTTCCTGTCTGTTCCTGATAGGCTCGAGGTAACTAAGGCTCAGCTGCACCCTGCCCTGTGGTGTTTGGATCTTGTCAGCTACGATTTTATTTTCTCTTTTCGGTTTTTCAAGACAGGGTCTCACTCTGCAGTTCAGGCTGGCCTTGAACTCACTACATAGCCAAAGATGGCCTCAACTGTGTGGCGATCCTGCCTCAGCCTCCTGAATGCTGGGATTACAGGTGTGCACCACCATGCCCAGCTGCCAGCTGCAATTTTAACCAAGTGTCACCAGCATGACTGTGCATCGGGATGACACAAATCCAAGCCAGAGACATTGGGCATAGCGGAGCTCTGGGCTGTGGGGACCATGGAAGGCAGAAGTGTACGTGGAGGACAAGTCCCGCCAGACTGGGCTAAGGCTTACGTACTGCGTGTGGGAGGCCACTTGAGCTCTGTAGAAGGCTACAGTGTGCAGGCAGGGGACCTTGGAGGGAAGGGTAATGATGCTGGTCTGTCTAGTGGCACCTGTCCTTCTGCCACCACCAGTTTAGGGAGAGGTTGAGGGGGAGCTGCTGTGTCGGGCCGCAGCCCTGGTGTTTGCTGCAGAGAAGGGGCTTCGGCCTTGCCTACTAACCGTAGGGATATTTCAGCACCTCATTATCGTCCGGCTTCCCCCGGAGCGCCTGTGGGATGGACAGCTCAGCCAGCTGGGGGTTCTTGCTGGGGCACAGCTTCGGGGTGGCATCTGAGCCTGGCAGCAGGGCCAGCTGCCTCACCAGGCCCTGTGGAGAGAGAGCAGCTTGCTCAGAGCCCACCCTGCTGTGGAGTAAGGGGTGGTGGGCTTGGCCCATCTGGACCCAGGGGTGTTGGAGCAGGCTTTAAAATGAACTGATTGGCTTTATATATTTATTATGAGTCCATCCCGGGCCTCAGGGACCTGCTCCAAGGCCTGGTGGCTGCCATGCAGAAAGTGTAACTCTCCATGCCAATGGTCACCGTGGAGTCATGCTTTGGTCCATGACACTGTGACACCTCCGAGGGCAAAGTAAACCATAGCTGAGGACATCTGGCTTACTCTCTATTCCAGAGCTATAAACTGCCCACCTTAGAGATAAGATAATCCACCTAATTGGCAAGATTTACTGCCTAAGAATGTCTTTGTTTCAACTTCTCAAGGTCCTGCTCAGTGTCCCACCTTTATTAGCTTTTCCCTTCACTTTCCCTCACACCCTCCGAACTTGTTTGAAATCCAATACAGGCATTCCAGAGAAATTTTTGTCTTAGCTCTAAGAGAGTTCAGACCTTCCTGGACCCCAACACTTCACATTGCTTGTCTAATTTATTTAATCCCTCACCATCTACTCACCAGGGGAGATTGGAAAGCCTGACCAACCCTCAACACAGGAGAGTATAGGGGTGCTAGAGTCTGACCTTCGTGGAGCCAGGAGAGATGGATTTGTATGCTGGTGTCAGGGAGGTGCTGGAAGGGCACTGTGCTCAGGTAGTTAAACCATGGGGGGATTTTCCATGGAGACCAACTTAGCATGACCAGGCTATACTGCTCATCTGCCTGTCCACCAAGGCATCCACCCATCATCCATGCATCCACCACTCCATCCTTCTGTACACCCACCCATCTGAGACACCCTCCTGATAGCCCACCCACCTGACTGTCTACTTATCCAATTTTTTTTTTCTGGTACCGGGAATCAAACTCATGGCCTTGTGCTTGCCAAGCAGGTGCTGTGCCACGGAGCTAAATACCCAGCCCCCTACTTATCTAATAATCTATGTATCCATCTACCCATGACTGTATTCAGTCACCCATCACCCATCCAGTATCCACCCACCATCTGTCCCTTCATGTGTTCATCCGTTATCCACCCATCCACTCATCTGTCCACAGAATACGGGGCATGGTTCCACCGCCCCAGGGAGAGAGCCTGTGGGGAGGGGTGTGTTGTGCTACTCAGAGCAGATGGCACTAGCAGGGTCCAGGCTGGGTTTGGACAACACCTTTTTTTCTTGGTTATTTTGAGACAACATCTCACTATGAAGTTCAGGCTGGTCTTGAACTCACTATAAAGCCCAGGCTGGCCTTGAATTTGAGGTAATTCTCTCCCCGCAGTGCTGGGATTAGAGGTACAGGCCAGCATGCCTGGCTGTGTGGGCCCCATCTTATCAGAGTGGTGGGGCAGGACCGCATGCAAACAGGAAGGGAACAGCAAGTGTGAGGGTCCTGCAGTAGGGACCCACTCTACCTTCATCCCTTGGTTCCCTTGGGGACAGCCAGCGCCCTATTAACCCACACATCGCCGGGACAGGCTGTACTCACCGTGAACAGCCCCTTTGCTCTCCTCCGGCTGCCGATGAAGAACCGCGCCCCTCTCACGGACAAGGTGGCCGGGAAGGGCACGTCAGCCATTCTGAGTTAGGGCACAGGAAAGCGAGGCTGTACCGGCTTTGTTTACCAAAGGAGCCGTAACAAAGGGGATACGTGGGTAGTGTGACCCGGAGAAGTTTACTCTCCTGGTCTCGAGCCCAGAGTCTGGGTCGGGGTGTCGTGGGCCACAACCCTCAGATGCTCCCCTGGGAGGCTGCCCTTGACTCTTCCAGCCTGTGGCGGCCTCATCCCCCCACCCCTCCTCCCTTTTCAAGTGGCCACCTCTCTGCCTCTGTCTCCCAAAAGGGCCCGTCCTGCTCCAGTCTGGGCTCGTCCAGATCGATTAAAAGACCCCGGGCCAAGCAGGGGCACATTCCCAGCTGCAGGTAGATGTGGGCGGGGGCCATGCCACCCAGGACAAGGGTCCTCTGCAGAAGCACATGGCGAGGAGGTGGCTGCCACCTGCCCTGTCCCCAACCGGGGAGGGGCAGTGGCTGGAGCAGCAGGGAGCACCTGCCTGGAGACCCACGAGGCATTGGTAAGAGCGAGCAGGTGCTGAACCCTGGAGAGATGGGCAGGAAGGCAGGCGCCCGTCAGAGGAGACGGCCAGACCGGCCTCAGGGAGGGAGAGCTCAGTCCTGGGCTACTGCAGACACAGGAGCTGCCTGGTGCGAAGCCCATCTGGGGTTGAACCCCGATCCCTGGGTGTGTGGAGAGTTCTGCTGTGAGGCAGCAGCCTGCAGGTGACTGTTCTGTAAGCATCCTGTCCCTACCTGGCTCCTGGTCCCCGCCTGCAGCGGCCCTGTGGACAGAGGGGACCTCCAGGCCGGGACCTCCCGGACAGGCTGCCCCGTGAGGGCGCAGCCCTGCCGCCCACTTGTACCTACATGTCCACCGGGAGGCCGCAGTCCGTGGTGAGGGAGAAGGAGCCTTCAGACACCGCCAGCACCAGGGTGTGCCACTGGCTGTCCATGAGGCCGGGGCTGCGGAAGGACACGCGCGTCTGCCAGGCGCCGGCCGCGTCCTCGTGGAGGAACAGGAAGTGTAGCCGGGTGGGTGAGTAGCGCAGGCCCAGCAGCAGCGCGTCCCTGTCCTCCGCCACCACCGCCAGCAGGTACTCGTTCTTCTGCAGAGAGCAGGGGGGCGGGGCTGTGGGGGCGGGGCTTGAGGGAGGGGCGGGGCCTGGGCGGGGCTGACTGGCAAGGGGTGGAGCCGATAGGACAGGAGGGCAAGACCTGGGCGGGGCGGGGACGTGGGTGTGGGGTGGGGCTGACCCAGGGGTGGAGCCAATGGGAGAGGTGAGCCAGATCAGGGAGGGATGGTGGTGGGGCTTGTGGGGGGGCGGGGCTGGATCAGAGAGGAGGGGCGGGGTGCGGGGGAGGAGGGAAGTAAGGCTGATTGATGGGTGGGGGGAGGCTGGAGAGAAGGGTAGGGCTGACCCCGAGGGGAAAGCGGGGTGGTGAGGGCAGGGCTAAGGGGGAGGGGCGGGAGCATCGGGCAGGTGAGGGGGTGAGGCCGTGGGGAGGGGAGGGGCGGCGCTGACGACCCTCTGTAGGGGCTGCTTTCGGCTAAAGGACCCCTCAGGGTTAGGATGGCTACCACTCTCCCCCAACAGGAAAACCCGGGACACTGTGAAGTGGCTCAGCTGCTGTGGAAAACAGTTCGGTGGTTCCCCGCCAACTAAGCGTGGGGACCTGGCGCAGTCAGACCGGCGGAGACGGGGGACCGCAGGGGTGAGGGCTCGCTGCTGTCCGGGACAGGGTTTCAGGGGTGGCGATGACGACGACGAGGACGCTTGCACAGAGTAAGGACTCGCCAGCCCCGAGCCGTGCGCAGAAGCGGGTAAGGCGCCAGTCCTAGGGTCTATGTATTTTAACCACAGGTTTTTTTTTTTTTTTTTTTTTTTTTTTTTTAAGTGAGCGCAGTGCCTATTGCGACAGTAATGTCAAAACTCTGGGCTTCCTTTAATTTCTTTCTTTCTTGTTTTCTTTCTTTCTTTCGGTACTGAGAGTGGAACTCAGGACCTCGGGCTTGCCAGGCAGGCGCTGTGCCACCCAGCGCTAGCCCCAGCACTGAGCTTCCCTTTCTAAGGTTGGGTATTTGCCAGTGGAAGCTTGGTCGCACCCATCCGCAGAGGAGACTCCTTGGATTCTCAGCCCAAGACAACGGAGGGTGAAGGAACAAAGTGCTTAAACCCAGACGTGAAGCAGATAGGAAAGAGCTGAGCGCGTGCGCGTGAGCATAGTCGATCCCTAGGCCAGCAGGCCTGCGCCTGGACTCTCTACATCGACGACTGTGGCCGTGTTCTGAGGGAGGGGAGCTGCCTGTCCTCCTTGGATGTCACCAAAATTTCAGTTCCCGAGAGCCCGTGTGTCCAGGCTATGTTACTGTAGGGACAGCAGGGAATACCTCTTTCCCCAACCGCCCCATCATGGGACCTGGGAGTGATGCTTGCAGGCTGACGCAGTAACAACAAGCCCTGAGTGATGGCCAGGACTGTCTTAGAGCGGGACAGTGGAGGCAGGGAGATGGGTGTGGACAGTGGGGAGCAGAGAAGCCCCACCCACCCGTCCATCTGTGTGTTGGAGCCGGGTGAAGATGCACAGCCCTCCAAGGCGAGGCCCTGTGTCCCAGCAGTGACCCCAGTGAGCCACTGCTTCTTGCAATTTCTATGCTCCTAGAAATGTCCAGAGCTGGGGGAGATCCAGACAGGCTCAGACTGTGTCCCCATGAGCATGAGAGGCAGAGAATCAGGTGAAAGGAAGTTTATTGAAGCCTACTGGTGATAACGGGGTAGGGTCCAGGGTGAGTGACACAGCAGAGAACCTGGAGGAAGGGACCGGTGACTCTGAGGGAGGCAGGGCTCTTGGGAGGCAGGAGGGAGAGGCCAGGGCAGCACAGTGGACACATGGGGGACCCTGACTCCAGAGGGAGGGGCAGCCTGCTAACCCGGGTCAGAACCAGGCTGCAGGGTATAGCAAGAGCCCTCGCCTTGGGGTGACCAATCAGCAGCAGGACTTCTGGCCCAAGGAGAGGCCACAGCAGGCCGGGCGGGGGCAGGTGGGGCGGCAGAGCAGGGACATGCAGGAGGATGGGCGGCAGCAGCTGGGCTCACAGGAGGAGGTACAACAGGAGGAGGAGGGCACACAGCAGGCAGGTCTGCACACGGGGCGGCAGAGCAGGGACAAGGAAGAGCAGGAGGGTGTGCAGCAGACAGGCTTGCAGCAGATAGGCACGCAGCAGGATGGCTGGCAGGGGGAGCACGAGCAGCAAGCTGGCTGGCAGCAGGAGGAGGAGGCACCTGAGCACACAGGTGTGCAGCAGACAGGCTTGCAGCAGACAGGTGTGCAGCAGACAGGCTTACAGCACACAGGTGTGCAGCAGATAGGCTTGCAGCAGACAGGCTTGCAGCAGGCAGGTGTGCAGCAGGATGACTGGCAGGGAGAACAAGAGCAACAAGCTGGTTGGCAGCTAGACTGCTGGCACCAAGAGGAGGAGGTGCCTGAGCAGGCGGATGTGCAGCAGACAGGAGTGCAGCAGACAGGTTTGCAGCAGACAGGTGTGCAGCAGACAGGTGTGCAGCAGGCGGGCACGCAGCAGGATGGCTGGCAGGAGGAGGAGCAGCAAGCCGGCTGGCAGCTGGACTGCTGGCAGCATGTGGGCGTGCAGGAGCTGGTGCAGCCTGACTGGCAGCATGGGGGGCAGATGAGGCTCAGGCAGGGGGCTGAGGTGCAGCAGCTGGGCTGGCAGCAGCTGGGCTCACAGCAGGAGGGCTCGCAGCAGCTCTCTGGGCAGTCGTCCACCTGCCAGGGCTCGGTGCAAGCGCTGGAGCAGACGGACATGGTGGAGGCGGCCATGGCGGGGTTGGACTGGGGAGGTGTGAGTGAGTGAGAGTTGTGTGTGTGAGTGAGTGTGTGAGGTGCTCTGGGCCCCAGCTTTTATACCAGGCCAGGCTGTGTGTTGTTCCTCCTTGAGCTTCAGCGGCCTTCCCTTTCCTAGTTGCAGTTCCTCTCCTTGCTCCTGTCCCTTCCTTGTTGGTGTTTTGAACTGAGTCCTGGTGCCCTCGCTCACCGTGGTTTATGCGAAGGCGGCTCAGCCTGTGGACGTCGTGGTGGTGGCCCAGGGCTGGCTGATGCCCTGATCTGTCTGTCCTCCAGGCAGACATCTTGGGGATGGAGGACCCTGTCAGCCTGCAGTTGCTGCCCAGGAGGTGAGGGGCGGAGCGCAGACTGTGCCGGCCATGGAGCTGCTGCACAGCATGTGGCAGGTGACAGAGAAGCACCAAGGTGGCCGGGGGACCAGGCAGTGGCACCAGACCCACGCGCCATGGCGGAGGTGGCCCGTGACGGAAACTTGGAGAGACAGATCCCCCAGGAAGACAGGCTTTCCAGACCAAGTGGCAAAAGGGGCAAGAAGAAGGCTCCCCAGAGTCCAAGGGAAATGTGGACCTCAGGACTGGAAATTTCAGCCACATCTGGGCAAACTGGACCAAAGCTGATGTATCTAACAGCAGAGTTAAAACCCTGAAAGCCTCCAGCAAAACGGAAATCTAATCCCAGGGGAAGCAGAAGAGACAAAAACAAGGAAGAGCACAAAAGGCAGCAAAAGTCAGGCAAAGGCTCTTAGCTTCTTCAGGAGAAGCAAGCCGAGCTGCTGAACTTGACCTTCCGGGAACTAGTCATAGAGTGGCCCCCAGTGCACTCTTGGCGGGGTATGGCTCTGAGATTCAAATGTGCAGAGTTCTGTTACAACCACTGCAGCCCCAGGGCCTCCACCCCTCAAGGATCCCCTCATGTGAGACAAGCAAATTCCCTGTGTGACATTCTGTGAGCGGTCCTCCCTCAGCTGCGTCTCTCTGAGAAATCACGGCCCTGGGCCTTCAGTTGGCAGGTTCCCACTGGGATGGGACCACACCTTGTCTTTTGGACCCGGCTTTGTTCACTTGGCAAAAAGCCCACAGGAGTCATCCAAGATGCCACACACATCAGGTTGTTTGTTTCTGTGTGGCTCGGGAGGATTCCAGTGTGGGATGCCCACAGTCCGTGTCTCCATGAGGGGCAGAGGGCGCTCTCATCGTCCTGTTTGTGAGGGTCAGGAGCGGGTCTGCTGTGACGTTGTTTGTGCGCACTGTTTTGCAGGTTGCTGAGTTTCCACTTCCTGGAGTCAACGCCCAGGAGCGGCCTTGCTGGGTCGTTGGTCAGTGGCTCTGCGACCGCGTGAGAAACAGCCACGTGGCTGGCAAAGCGGCAGCACCGCTCGCCCCACGACAGCCGCGTAGAGAGCTCGAGGGCCTGGTCCTGCTGGCACTCGGTGCTGATGTTGTTTTAGTTTTGCATCTGCTGTAATTTTAGGTTGCATCGCGCTGAGGACTAATGAGCCGTTTGTCGTGTTTACCCTGCTTGTCCCCAAGCCGTTGTCCAGAGTGTCACGGCATCCATGTTTCCCTGGCGGGGTGGAGTCAGGGTCCTGCGACACACGGCGTGCAGGTCCTGACTGGGTTTCTCTGGTGACTGACGATGCCAAGCTCCTTCCTGCCCGCAGACTTGCCGTCCACACATTTTATTGGCAATGCTTTTCTTCCTGTTTCGGCCTGCTTTTAAAAGTTCTCTGTATCTTTTGGGTACGCGTGCTTCGGTCAGATTTGCAAATATTTTCTACTTGTCTATGCTTTGTCTTCTCATTCCCACAACAGCACATTTTAAAGACAAAAAAGTTTAATACTGATGAAATCCCATTTGTCAACTATTGTCTTTTATACATCAGGCTTTGGTATCAATTCTAGAACTCTGCCTAACATGCCTAACATGAGATCACACGCAGAGATTGCCCTCTGTTTTCTCAAACAAACATTTACAAATTTACTTTTAGGTCTATGACCAGTTATGATTTAATTTTACACGAATTCGAGACAGTTGAAGTTCAGCTTTCTTTTCTTCATGGATGTCCAGTTGTCTCAAATACGCCCCTTTCTCATTGAGTTTCCTCTGTCCTTTGCTCAGTGGTCAGCAGCCTTCTCTGAGTCTGTGTCTCTCTTTTCTCTTATGGATTTTTGTCCCTATTTTTGCCAACACTAAGTTGCCTTGATTCCTGTGGATTTCTAGGAAACCTTGAAATCAGGAAGTTGAGCCCTCATGTTTGACTCTTTTACAATTTCTTTTTAATTCATTTGCTTCAGGAAGGACATTCTGGGACCAGCTTGTTGATATCAACAAGTGGGGAGCCACAGCAGACTACGTCAAAGCTCAGGGTATCTGAGGACCCATTAAGGACATGAACCCACTGTTGAGTGCATGTGCAGAGCAGGATATGCTTATGTAACCATGGCTCGGCATTAGACAAACACGCATGTGCCAGTAAAGCCAGCATGCAAGAATGTAAATATGTGATAACAACATGTACAACAATTAAACAGTAAAGATGCAGCTTCTCTTGCTCTGCTCTGCTCCCTGCTGCCTGCTGTTGCTGCTGCTGTCTGTCTCTGCCTGCCTTCTTTGGGGACCTCACACACAGAAACACTCCTTCAGCCCCCTCAACCCCAACAGAATAAAAACTCTGCTGCAGTTTTAACTGGGGCAGCATGGAACCTACGATGGATCGGGAGGAGCCGAATATGGCAGCAGCATTACCAGCAGGGCGTGGCAGGAGTCTCTACTGAAGTCTCATTTGACTTCTTTCACTGTGTTTTCCTGAGCTACATACTGTTAGACAGATAGCCAAATTGTCTTTTCACTCTAGTGTAAATCATCCTGTGAAACAGTATTGTTGAATTCTCATTGTGTATTTCAGTGTGTAGCACACAGCCAGGTTTTGCTGCTTTGGTTATTTTGAGCTGGCATCCCTCAGCCTGACTGCAGGACCTTACAGTCCCAGGAGACTTCCTGCTGATTCCAGGGGTTTCTGAGTGAACAAGCCTGTCCTCTATGAGGAACAGTGCATTAAATGTGCTCAGAGAGAGCAGAGATCATGCTGTCTCTTCTCTGAAACGTGCGCCTGCGTTTGTCTCCCCTGCTCTCACCTGGCAGACTGTGTAGTGTGGTGACACAGGACTGCTGCGGCAGATGCCAGCCTCTCTGCTGGCCACAAGGGAAATCATTTGGTGCTGGACCCCTGATGGTGAAGCGGGCTGTCTCCCTGGAGACCTTATACCAGGCTAGAAAGTGAGCCCCCACCTATTTCTAGTTCATAGAGAGCATTTGTAAAATCCAAAACTTCACGAATTTTCCTGTGTATCCGTGGATGTAATTGTGCTGGTTTCTCCTTCAGTCTCTTAACATCGTGAACCATGTTGATGATAAGCAGGTCAGTTGGGTTTTTATTACTGTTATAGTCTTATATTCCTGAGGTGAACCCAACCTGTCTCACCCTTTTGACGGTTAGTGCATTCGGTTTGTAATATTTTGTTGTGGATTTTGTTGTCTACATTTATTAGGGACATTGATCTGTCATTTTTGTCCATGTAGTGTCTTGGTCCTGGACATCAAAGTGTGGCTGACCCCTTAGAGTGAGTGGCCATGTGCTCTGTCTTCTGTTTTCTGGAAGAGATTGTGTAGAAGTGTCACGTATCTCTTCTTTCAGTGTTTTGGCAGAGCTCATCTGTGGGCAATCTAGACCTAAAGGCTTTTTTATTAGAATGATTTAAAACTGATATAGGATGTGGAGGAGGTGAGAAGAGATGCACAGACTGGGAGAGTCTTGATACAATACGTCTGATGAGTGCCGATAGCCAAAATATGCAAAGAGATCTTAAAACTCAAGACAACAACAAACACCCTAGCTAAGAAAAGGGCACAAGAAGTGAACAGACAGCTCGCCAAAGAAGACGCACTGATGGCAAACAGCCTATGAACAGACACTCAACTCACACATCACTGAGAAATTGAAAGTTACACTAATGCGCAGACCCCACCGCACACTGTTGAAGGGCCCATATCAGACGTGTCCAGGCTGTGGAGCACCAGGAGCCCTCCTTCATCACTGGTGGAAATGCAGAGCAGTGCAGCCACTTTGGAAGGTGGTTTGTGGTTCCTTACAAACAGAACATGCTGTTCTGACCCAGCAGTAGAAGTCTTGCTATTTACCCAAAGGAGCTGAAAATTCATGTCTACACAGAAATCCACCATGGATGTAGATAGCAGCTTTATTCACAATTGCTACGAGTTGGGAAGCAGCAAGAGCCCTTCAGCGGGTGAGTGGACAGACGGTAGCAGTACCGGAATGCAGGTGAAGCACTGTTACTGAGTGTAGAAAGAGTTATCACGGCATTAAACGTCCCAGGGGAGCTCAGTGCCCAGGAGGCAGGAGAGCGGCTGGTCCTCCACGGCTGTGTGCTGTGGGACTCCCAGGGTGTGGCATTGGGAAAGGGGCAATTCTGAGACACTAAAGTCAGGAATGGCTGGGGCTGGGAACAGGGAGCACTGACAGAGCCCAGAGGGCCTTGAGGGCCGGCAGAGGAGCGTGCAGGGAGCTGATGGTGGACGCGGTCAGGTCCACAGCCACAGAACGCAGCCCTGAGTGAGTGCCCTGCAGCTGGGGCCGGGTGATGGCAGCAGGGGCTGTTGGTGTGTGAAAGTGTCCACCCTGGGCAGGATGGCGATGGGGCCTGGGCTGGTGGAGAGGGGCCTCCCCTGCGTGTCACTGTGAACTGAACTTGCTCTGAAAGTGAAGTCTGTTAAGAGCGGGTGCAGGACGTGAGGGGGCCTGGGCTCTCTGCGGTGACTTTGGTTTTTGCGTCTCCCAAGTCCTCTCACTGCCCAGCCCCTGCACAGACAGTGCGTCATGGCCGCGCCCACCCTGCCATCCGCCGTCCCTAGCCGTGTCTTCCCGATCTTCCGCAGATGCAGATGTTCACTGATTTCTTCTGCAGAACGAGTGTTGCTCTCGCCGGCTGTCACAGTGTCACTGCTTGCCGCTTCCCTGATTTCTCTTAGGGTGTATCCTTTCACGCCTTGTGCCTGATTTGGGATGAACGTAGTCTTACTGGTCCCCTTTAAACTTTTCTCCTGTCTCCGTTACCTGTAAAGTGCTCTTCTTGCAGAACAGGTTGGGATTTCCCAGCCTTCAACTGTGCCTTGTCTCCCTGCTTGTTGGCCGTCCAGCTACACAGGTGGGCGGGACCTGCATCCCCCAGCTCACTAGCGTGCTATTTCTTGCTCCTTCTTGTGCTTCCTTTGAAGATGTGTCCCTTGTGAGGTCGCTGGTGCACCTGATTTCTGTAGCATGGTGTATTTGCTGTTAATCATTCCTGTGATTTTCACCTCAGAGGTCGTAGGTTTCCCCCCTACATGTCCTGTGTGTCCTTTTCCTCCTCATCCTTGATGAATATGCCCAGTCTTTCCTGCTGTGAACACTGTGTAGCCGGTGAAGACTCCGAGTTTTTGTCACCGATTCCCCGACCTGGGAGACTGGCAGGTCCCTCCGGAGGCTCATCCCCGACACAGGTGACACTGTCCCCCCCTTTGTGTGCCTCCTGACTCTCGAACGATGTTCATTGCCAGGCTGGGCTCTGGGTGCTGTTGAGCTGCCTGGCAGTTTGTTCTCAGGCTGCATGGAGGAGATGTTACGTGCAGACCAAAGGTCCCCAGGGCCAGGCTCACCCCACTGCCAGGCAGCACCCGCCCGGTCCTGAGTGACGAGGTCTCTCCTCTGCCCAGGGCCTGAGGCTCCAGGGCCCCTCTGCTCTGTGGTGCTCTGTCTTGAGCATGGTCCTGACTCTGACCCAGTGACCCCAGGAGAGTGAGCCACTGTCCCCTGTGACTTCTCAGCTAAGTCCCTAGCTCCTAGGAATATCCATGCCCAGGGGAGACCTGGGTCTGCCCAGACCATGTGTCCCCATGAACGCGAGAGGAGGAGAATCGGGTGATGTGAAGTTTATTGACACTGTGAGGAGCTGACAGGGGGAGGTTCAGGGCAGGTTTCAGCAGCGGACCCGGAGGGAGGGGTCAGGGCAGCACAGTGGATAGGGTGGGGAGGCCCTGTCCTCAGGGGAAGGGGATCTGCTAATGCAGGTCAGGACCAGGCTGAGGGGTGCAGTGAGGGCTCTGGCATTGGGTGACCTGAGCCTGCTGGCCCTGGGGGATGAGGACAGTCAGCAGCAGGACTTCTGGCCCAAAGAGAGGGCACAGCAGGCCGGGCGGGGGCAGGTGGGGCGGCAGAGCAGGGACACGGAGGAGGATGGTTGGCAGCAGCTGGGCTGGCAGGAGGAGGTGCAGCAGGAGGAGGCGGGCACACAGCAGGTGGGTCTGCACACGGGGTGGCAGAGCAGGGACACGGAGGAGCAGGAGGGCGTGCAGCAAACAGGTATGCAGCAGGATGGTTGGCAGGGGGTGCAGGAACAGCAAGCAGGCTGGCAGCTAGACTGCTGGCAGCAGGAAGAGGAGGTGCCTGAGCAGACAGGCTTGCAGCAGATGGGCACACAGCAGATTGGCTGGCAGGACGAGGAGCAGCAAGCTGGCTGGCAACTGGACTGCTGGCAGCAAGAGGAGGAGGTGCCTGAGCACGTGGGTGTGCAGCAGACAGGCTTGCAGCAGACAGGCTTGCAGCAGACAGGTGTGCAGCAGACAGGTGTGCAGCAGGCGGGCACACAGCAGGACGGCTGGCAGGAGGAGGAGCAGCAAGCCGGCTGGCAGCTGGACTGCTGGCAGCATGTGGGCGTGCAGGAGCTGGTGCAGCCTGACTGGCAGCATGGGGTGCAGATGAGGCTCAGGCAGGGGGCTGAGGTGCAGCAGCTGGGCTGGCAGCAGCTGGGCTGGCAGCAGCTGGGCTCACAGCAGGGGGGCTCGCAGCAGCTCTCTGGGCAGTCGTCCACCTGCCAGGGCTCGGTGCAAGCACTGGAGCAGACGGACATGGTGGAGGCGGCCATGGCGGGGTCGGGCTGGGGAGGTGTGAGTGAGTGAGTGAGTGAGTGAGTGTGAGTGCTGTGTGAGGTGCTGGGCTCTGGGCTTTTATCCTCTCCCTGTCCCCGTGTCCCCGGCCTCTCCTTCCTTGTTGCTGACCCGGCCCTGCTGTCATCAGGGATGTTTGTTTTCAGTGTGTCTGGCTCGTGAATCTCCTGCTGGGTCTGTCCAGGAGCAGGAAAAGGGTGACCTGGGCCCATCTGCGTCTGGGAGTGCTCATGGCTGGGGTGTCAGTGGACCAGCATCTATGCCCACCATCCCAGCCTGTGACCATGAGACGCATCATGTGGGCTGGAGCCTCGCCCACCACAGGCCACCTCCTGTTCACTCTGCCCTCTTCGCCTCCTGATCCTGGCTCTGGGATGGGGGCCTCTCACTGTGTCTCTGTTAAATTTTGCCCACCATGTGGCAGAGATGAAGTCCATGGACTTCCCACCCCATGGATGGACTTGCTGATGTCTCTAGGACCACGAACACCTTCTTCCCAACGGTCTTGTTGATCATGGTTTCACGTTTATACATGAAGCACACACGCCTCTGCCATTACAGAATGAGATGTGTATTGTGAGTTGTTAAGTGGACTTCCCCTGTCAGCCTGAACCTGGCAGAGCTGAAACCTGTACCTTGTCCTAAAGGTGGTGGTGACACTGGGGTCAGCCCTCATCCCACAGGGCTGTCTCAGTGAGCTACAAGAAGACCCTGCGGACGGCTGCCACACTCTGGCACAAACTGCGTGGTTGTGAGAGGCAGTAGTGGCCCCCCCAGTCTTTTGAAAGTGCAGTGACTGCAGGAGCGCAGCCTCATTCTGCCGTGGCACTGACCCCTAAAGCAGGTCCTGGCTGGCAAGGCAGGAGCAGAAGCCGCAGCTGGAGCACCAGTCACAGAGACGCCAGCCCCAGACTCAGTGAGGCCCAACTCTGCTGCCCCACGTCCCTCACCTGTCCCCAGCCCTGCAGAGGACTCAAGAGCCACTGGAGGGAGGAGAGATGCCAGGCAAGGAGGCCTCCCACGCTGTCCCTGGGGCCCACACAGGCTTTCTTGGGGGAGGTGAGACCTACAGGCTGCAGGTTGAGGAGAAATTGAGCCCTGCCTGCTTTGGGTATGGATTTGTCCCACGTGGTACAGGAACACGCATTGCCCTATCACCAGCCTTCTCCTCTGCGGCTCTGAGCTCTGCTGACTGCGGGTCTTTGCTGGTCCCTGCTCTCACCCGCCTTCCCTTTCCCCAGGCAATGGGGACGTCCCGGGAGCCGGACGCGGGCTCTTCCTGCCACCACACTATCTCCAGGCACCAAAAATGCTGCCCAACACACAGGAGATCCTGACAGAAATATCTGGAAATGAATGCACTTTCTTGGTAAAGAAATTATTGAGGAGTAAGTTTGGGTTCTGAAAATGACTATTTGGGGCCGACCTTTCCTTGAACAGTGTGAGGTGCTCCGCCAAGTTGAGCTCCACAGGTGGGGAGCTGGCTTGCTCAGCCTGGCTGCCTGTCAGGGAACGACCAGCCGGGCTAACAGAGAAACCCCTTGGGCAGGCAGCAGGCACAGGGCAGTGGAGCCCACAGAGACCAAAGGCACTGCAGGGAAGGACCGAGAACAGAGCCTGTGGCCTCCTGCATGTGGACTTCCTCCTGGAGCCAGGTCACAGCCAGAGGTCCAGGGGCTGAGCAGAGCTTTTCATTTCCTCAGAATGGAACAGAAGAAGTCAGAGCTCAGGACCTGAGCAGAGGGGAGACTCTGGTAAAGCACCCAGGCTTTCAATTGGAAAGTCTGAACATCAGTGGAGGCCTGCGCCCTCGGGGAAGGGCATAGCACAACCTAAATCAGCTCAAGCTCCACTTGGGTGACCCTCCCATGGCACAGGGCTGTGCCAGAATTAGCAGTTTATCCTCTCTGCAGCCAGGCAACACCAGCAAAGACTCAAGTGATCTTTGCATTTTTCACCCATGGCCTCTTCCATTCAGTCAGTGTTACTAGGTGGACTAAGAGCGGCCGGCACACAAGCGAGAGAATAGCAAGCAACAGAAACAGGGCTACAGGAGACCTCAACGTCTGACTTGAGGCTGCGCTTAGGTAACTGTGAGTTTTACTTTCTCAGAAAAAGTAGGAGAAAATATGGAGAATTTCAGTGGCAACTTGGATTCTATAATCAAGAATCAAACATAAATTTGAGAAATGAAGAACACAGTAGGTGAAGTCAGAACAGAGCAGGCGAGTTTAACAGCCCATTAAACAGAACCAGAAGGACTGGTGGAGGGCGGGAGGCAAGGAAAGATCAATCTAAGCATGGAGGAGGGAGGGGTAAAGTACGGGACGTGGCGGGAAAATGCTTCCAATTCTAGGAAGAGGAGAGTGAGCCAAGTGGAGAAGATTCTCAGTGTAAACTAGACAAGTACTTTAGATTGTCAGAGGACGTTAACCACAATGGAGGACACTTCAGGAAGCCACAGCTTGGGCTGCAATCCAGGACAGAGAACAACTGAAGAACAGTCAGAGGGGACAAGGAGACAGTGCCTTAGAGAAGACCAGCAGAGGACGTCCTGGCAGAAAGGTTGGAGGCCTGGAGACAGCAGATTGTACCTTTGTCTCCTGGAGGAAGGAGGTAAGCACCACGCTGGGCCTGCACCTGCGCATCTGTCACAGGGACGAGGCGGGAACCCCGGCTTTCTCAGCAGGAGCCACAGAGAGAACAAGCTGACAACGGGACCTGGGCCAAGCAAAGCGCCGAAAGGAGCTCTGAGGCAGGAAGAAAGTGATGACAGACCGAGCAAGGAAAGCCACCACGCACTGAAGTGGAGCGCAAGGGCCCCGCATGGCCGCCTCATGAGCGTGGACTCACCAGAGGCACTCTGAGAGCGTTTCCAGAAATAAAACACGTGCAGTAAGACCCTGAGGTTCAGGAGGAGGCCACATGGGGCTGAAGGGCTGGAGGACATCACAGTGACAAGAGTCAGTGGGTCCAGAACGTTGAGCACCTCCATAGCCAGACACACCCAGCTTCAGGCCCTCAGACTATGTCCCTCAACATGCCCAGAAACGAGAGAGGTCATCTCAGTTCTACAGTAACAGCTGGAGACTTCAAGAAGAGACTCTTGTTAACCTTAAGAAATGAAATAATCGAACTAGATGTGAGTTCAGAAGGAAATAGAAGACCTCAAGAACACTACACCAACCGGGGACAACCCACACTGGCAAAGCACTCCACCGCCACAGCAGGGCCCCGACTCCTCTCCAGGGCATGTGGAGCACTGTCTCCGTGTCAGGCCACAAACGAGGCTCAGCAATTTTTAAGCAATTGAAAACGCGCAAAGTGTCTTCTCAGTCATAATGGAAAGAAACTAGAAATTCAAACAGAGAGAAACCTGAATTCACAAATATGGGTGAAGTAAACAGCACTCTTAGCCAATCGCTGGGTCAAAGAAGAACTTAAACGGGAGAAGGAAGATGCTTTGAAATGAACGGAAAAAAAATACAACGACCAACTGTGCTGTGCAGTGAAAACTGTACTCAGAGGGAATTTGACCTGTTTAAACTTTTACCTTTTATTTTATTTTATTTTATTTTATTTTTTATTTTAAAAAGAATAGTAAGAAAAAGAACAATAGCAAAATGCCGACATCACACACATAAACAAAACAAAGTGGGAACATTAGAAGTGATACAGGGTTTCAAAACAAAATGATAGGTATGAACAGTGGTTGTTATATTACATATTGCTATCTTCAGTGATGTTGCTCAGATCACCAGATGTAAGAATGGAAAATTGTTCAAACCATTAAAGAGAATAAAAAAATTATGAAAAAAAACATTAGAGACAATACAGAGTTTCACTAGACAAGGTGGTATAAACATCATAGTGTCTCCATAGTGTAAGAACCTGAAAGAGTAAATAAAATCCACAATGTACAATACAGAATATGAGAGGGAAAAAATTGCTCAAAGGACGAATTAACTGCGATGAGGGAAAAAAGAAAAAGAAAGAAGGCAGGCAAAATGTGTGTGTGTGTGTGTGTGTGTAGGATAGCTGGGATAACTGTACTGCTGATGTCTCTTGGTTTATTGAAAGGAACACTTAATGATTAAAATGTTTTTATATTTTGACCAATTTTGCATGCTTGTATCTGGTAATCTGAGCAACTGATTTGAAGACAACAATATGCAATAAACTTTTACCTTTTACAACAAACATCTCAAGTTAGAAATTTAACTTTATACTTCCAGAAACTGTAAAAGGAAGACCACACAGAAGAAAGGAAATAAGGATTACCATATAGGTAAATAAAATAGAGGGTAGAAAAACAATAGAATCAATGATGCCAAAATTTTGGTTCTTTAAATAGAACAACAGAATTGAAAAAAGCTTTTAGTTACACTGAGTAAAAACTAAAAGATACAGAAACATCAGCACTGTCCTCATATAAATAAAAAGGGTTGTGAAAGAATAACATGAATAGGAAAAACAAGATGCAGTGAGCATGTCCCTATCAGTACACCAGTGACCCAACCTGACATCTGTGCTGTTGCTTCATTCCTTCCTATAGCTTCAAGTTACCATCTAGAGCCAGTTTATTCCACCCTGGATTAGCATTTCTTGCAAGGCAGGTCTATTAGCAGTTCATCTCTCAGCTTGTATATATCTGTGAATGTGCTGAATTCACTTTCAGTTTTGAAATTTGACAGTTATGTGAGATGAACACTCTTCTTAGTTAAGGGAGGCTCCCCCACACCAGACTTTCAATACGCCATTCCATTGCTTTCCGAACCCCACCATTTCTGAAGAGAAGCAGCTGTTAACCTCTCTGAGTGCACTCAGATTCTCTGTTTCTGATGTGCAATGGTTTGATTACTCTGCATCTCTGTGCAGCTGTCCTTGAACTTGCTCTGCATGGACTCTACATGTTTCTTGAAAGTCTAGGTACATGTGTTTTATTAAAACTAGGAAGGTTTTGAGTATGATTGCTCTTTCCAACTTCTCTCCTTCTGCAAGTCCTGATAAGTGTACCTTGGTGTGCTCGAGGATGTCCCACAAGGGTCTTAAGCTTTGTTTACTTTTCTTCCTTTAAAAAATCTGTTCCATACTAGCATATTTCCACGGATGTTCATGTTCACTGATTCTTCTGGTGCACAAATCTGCTGTTCAAACCCTTGAGTGCATTTTTCATTTCAGTTATTCTACTTTTCAATCTCCCAATTCTTTTTTGTCTTTTTGAGACAGGATCTCCGTATGCAGTTCAGGCCGGCCTTGAGCTCACTTTGTAGCTGAGGCTGGCCTCGAACTCACAAAGGTCCTCCTGCCTCAGTCTCCCGAGTGCTGGGATTACAGGTGTGTGCCACCATACCTGGCTGTAGTCTCCCAGTTTTTATTTGATTCTTTTGATACATTTCTCCCTTTGTTGATGTTCTATATTTGATGAGCTCTCCTTCTCCTGCCCTTTCTTCATTCTTTGTTCATGGGGTTGTTGTTTTTCTGAAGTAGCTTTGTAAAAGTGGCATTATTCTTCATTGTGGTCACCATTCCATCCACTGGGTGCTCAGACAGTGATTTGATGGAGTTAGCCCCTGTGGTTATGGCTTGGGTCTTTACTGTTCCCCAAAGGCCATGTGTGAAGTCTTGGTCCCCAGCCTGTGGTGCTGGTGGACGGTGGTGGAACCCTTAGGAATTGAACTCATGTGGGGAGGAAGTCAGGTCACTTTGCTGTGCCCTTGAGGGGGACATGGAGACCCTCATCCCCTTCCTGTTTCTCTCTTGCTTTTCACTGCTCAGAGGTGAAAGCTCCTCAACCACACACTCACACTGGGATGCTTTGTTCATTTCAGGTGCAACCAACAGGCAGAAAACCGTGGAGTGAAATTCCTGAAACTATGAGGCATCATAAACCTTTCCTCCCTATAGGTTGTTTACCTGAGGTATTTTGTCACAGTGACGGAAAGCTGGCTAACACAACTGCATCCAGAAGTATTTTTCTCTGAGTTTATTTTTTTTCCCTGATTGTGTTTGTATGCTGAGCACACCCCAACTCTAGCAGCCTTTCCTTTTGCCTCCTGTTCTGCCTTCACTTCCTGCTCCCACTTCACTTCTTGCTCACAGCTCCACTTCCTGCTCACACCCCACTTCCTGCTTATGTCTTCATTTCCTGCTTGTTCAGAGCTTGAGGGTAAGCCCAGGCGATTGTGAGAGCTACTCAGGGGTTTGTTGAGACTGTATCCTCATTGGGCATGTGTGTGGTCTATTAAATTCCAGAAATGTGCAGAATCAAAGACCTTATTCCCTAAAGCGCCTCATCCACCAGCTGTTCTTAGGCTTTTAAGGGGTCCATTTCCCCTAATCTGACATCCTTTGCCCTTGGTGGTGATGACTAGCTCACTCATCTTTAAGTTTTTTAACAATTACTTTCTTTGTAGCTACTTCTACACCTCGAGCAAGTCTTGAGTTTGGAGAAATCAAGGCAGGCCATTTGTGTTGCTCCTTCAGGCCACCCCACATTCATCAAGAAATAACCACATTTTCTTGGAATTAAGGTCCACTTACCCCGCTTGCCATCAGCCCCCAAGGCCATATCTAGCTCGGGCAGCAGGCAGTTGGGAGCAGAAATTCTCTAGAGCCCTGCTGGGCCCAGATGCTGATTTTGGCTTGATTGTGCCCTTCTGGTACTGTCACCATCCTCACCCTTTTTGGACCAGGGATGTGCCTCAAGGAAGACACTTTTTCCATGTCTGAAAGGGGGTTCCAGACGAGATTCTCATGAGAAGCGCACAACCCAGAATCTCAGAGTCACAGTTCACAGTCGGGTTCTCTCCTGTGAGAATTCCACACCGCTGCTGGTATCACAGGAGGCAGAGCTCAGGGAGTGATGGGAGAAGTGGGAGAAGCTGTGAATGCAGATGAAACTTCACTCCCGAGACCACTGTTCCTTCCTGCTGAGCCAGCCAGCTCCTAATCTGCCAGGGGGTTTTCACCAGGGACCCCTGACCTGGGGAGTGTTTTCCACAGTTCAGAAAACATTGCCAGATCCTTCGAATTTTTGGTCTTGGATTTTCTCTCTCTCTCTGTCTCTCTCTCTGTCTCTGTCTCTCTCTCTGTTTCCCAGTGCTGTGTCTCTCTGGCATGACAGACCTTCTTGCATCCTTGCTCCCACTGCTTCCTCTGATGTCACTCTCAGGAGGGAGAATTGGGAAAAGTGCCCCTGAGCTGTGGATAACTTTTTCGCCAGGGGTGCATGGTTGGTGTTTTAGTTACTTTCTTTTCACTGAGACATGATAAAGATAAAGGAGGGAGGCTTATTTTGACTAACAGTTTGTAAAGGTTTTACTTCATAGCTAGCTCCAACAAAGGGCAGCATTAAAGTGAGGGAATGGAGGACAAGCTTCTCTTCACGTGGGGACCAGAAAGTGAGGGGGGATATCAAGGGAGTTGTGAGCTCACACTCACAGTGACCCACCTCTTCTAACCAACCTTCCCTCCTAACAGCAAGTTAGCTATATCACCCCATAACCCAAAATCCCCATCTTTGAGTTAATGAGGTTTAGAGGAACAGCCATACATAAATTATATCATTTTCTCCCTAGCCCCAAAAGACTTATACACATCTCTTTATGTTAAATTTGTTTAGTCCATCTCTAAGAGTTTCCAGCATCTGAACAGTTTCAGCATTACCAAAAATTCCAAGTCCAAAGCTCCTTTGAGACTTAAGGCAAACTGTGAACTATCAGCTTGTAAAATCAAAAAGAATGTTAAATACTTTCAAAATACATTGATGAAAGGTCAACAGTTCTATCCCAGATGGGAGAAATAGGGAGATAAAAAACAACAGGACCAAAGTAAGACAAACACAGCAAGGCAAATGCTAAATCTGATAGCCATGTCCAGTTCCTAGGGCATTCTGTAGCAATGAGATGTGAACTCCAAATAGCTTGCATGGTCTTCTGGCTATAACATTTCTGGTAGTTGTAGTTCTCATGGCTTCTACCTTGCCCATGAGAAATTCTCCAAATTGAAAGGGGAACTAGGAAAAGGGAGGGGGAAAAGAAGGGAGGGAAAATAAAACAATGAGAAAAGAAGGATGAAATCTGGGTGGAAGCCTTCATAACCTCACAACTCTTGCATTCTACATCCTCATAAAACCAGCACCACATACACAATGCCAAGGGCTGTGTTCCTCTTGTAGAGTAGCTGGGCCCCCTTGGATCATGGCTGCAGATGTCTCTAAGTACCTGGATGCAGAGCACTATTAATTCAGTCCTGGGGAACCAATTCCCTATGAGGCCATTCTCTAACACGGTGCCTCAGTGCTCTCTTCGCAAAGAAGGTTTTCACTTTTGTAGGCTGGTTGGTAGGGTCTTGCTGTTTCCCCTGATGCCCTCAAGGCATCCTTCCTATTGTACTGATTCAAAGTACCTCTCTTCTTTTTAATGCTAATATTTTCAGCAACTAAGCTCTCCTCTGCTTCAACTTTACAGGCCCAAATTTACAGGAGCTTCCTTTCTGGTGAAATTCAAAACTTTCACAATCCCTCAGCTATGCTGTTTGCTCTCGATTCTCAGTGTGGAGTGGGCTGAAACCCCCAACAGTAACTCTGGCAAAGCCTGAAAATTGTGTTGCCAGGAAATTTCTTCTGCAAATTAATTAGTCCACTGCTTTTCATTGTGGTTGTACACCAGACCTCAGGACATGAGCAAACTGTGGACAGATTTTTTTTTTTTGTTAGAGCCTAACACACATGGTTATGAGTCCAAAAACCAATGGGGTTCTTATTCCCAACCAAACTCTCCCAAGCCTGGTCTTTACTATCTGCATTTCTATGAGTGTTCTGGTCTTCTGAGCTCAGACCAGAATCTTTGAGTTTATAGTATTCTAGGACATCTCCAGGTGGCATCTTCAAACCTTTCCAAACTCCTGTCTTGAACAAACTCCTATCTTGCCAAAATCTTCTGAACCAAATGGTCAGGGGCGGTCACAGCCACACCCCCACTTTCCCAGTACCAAAATCTGTCTCAGGTGCTTTCTGGTCAGTGAGACACAATATGCAACACCCACAACTTAAAGGAGGACAGGTCTATCTTGGCTCACAGTTCGTAGAGGTTTTGGTCCACAGTTGGCTGCCTCCAAGACAGGGAAACCCAGGAGAGGGGCGCAGCAGAGGAACAGCTGCTCACCTCATGGTTCCCCCTCTTCCTACCAGACCCCCCTCTTCAAAGCAAGTCAGCTCTGAGCCCCACAATCCAATCACCTTCCGCAAGTCCTGCTTCTGTGCACTTGAGGCTTTGGGTGATATTGAGATTTATTCCCTAAGAGTGGGGACCCTCACCACGGTGTCACCTGAAACAGTCAAAACAAATTTCCATGTTGTCTCTCAGTGTTGCCCAGGTGAGAGCTGTGGTCTTCTGAGCTCTGACCAGAATCTCTCAGTTTATAGTAGTCTAGGACATCTCCAGGTGGCATCGCTTTGGAGAGCTGTGCAACTAGGCAAAGGTGACCACAGTGGCATGTGTTCCCTCCTCAGATGGAAGAGAGGACACTGTGAGGTCCCTGTTGTATGTGCAGCCACACCCCTACTGTCATGAAGCACATGAGGACACCTCATGGGCGATTCAGTGACTGTCACCTGGCTGTGGTCTTTGCTCTGCCATTGTAGCCAAGGACAGAGCCCTCAGATTCACACAGATGTGGGGGGACCACACTTGCCTGGCCACACCTGGACACCTGTGCTCATGTGTCCCCATGCATGGGCCTGTTCTATCACCATTCTGGGCCTCTGCTACCATCCCCCACCCCACACCAGCCTGCAGTTCGGGCCTCCAAAGCTGCATCTTGTCCTAGGTGTGGGGTGTATGGGGTGGTGTGGAGCACATGGACCATTGTCCAGAATGCCCGTCCTTTGCTGTGGAGCACCCTTGGGCCTGGGTCCAGCTGAGGCCTGTGTCTCCCACCTCCTGCTCAAATGCGGCCAGGTCACCCCACAATTCCTGGGTCCTGGGGAGTGTGGCATCATCCACATGCAGTGGGTGCAGGTCGGAGCCAGATGATGCCAACGGGATGGTCCTTGCACCTCTTTAGACCAATAGAGCCGGCACTTGTGGGAAGAGTCAGGTCACTTTGCTGTGCCTTTGATGGGGACATGGGGACCCCCACCCTCTTACTGTTTCTCTGCTGCTCTCCAGCTGCCCTGAGGTGACAGCTCATCTACTGCACACTCACACCAGGATGTTTTGTTCATTTCAGGTGCAACCAACAGGCAGACAACCATGGAGTGAAATTTCTGAAACTGGGAGCCACTATAAACCTTTCCTCTGTATAAGCTGTTTACCTGAGGTATTTTGTCACAGTGACACAAAGCTGACTAACACAACTGCATCCAAAAATATGTTTCTCTGGGCTTGTTTTTCCTTGGGCTCTGAGTGTATTTTTGTGTTGTGCACATGCTCCACTCTAGCAGGACAGTTTACACCTGCCTTCCTCTTCACCTCTCGCTCTGCCTTCACTTCCTGCTCTGACTTCATCTGCTCACACCTCTGCTTCCTGCTCACACTCTACTTCCTGCTCATGTCTTTGTTTCCTGATTGCTCAGAGCTTGAGTTTCAGCCCCAGAGGATCGTTGAGAGCTGCTCTCGGCTTTTCTGAGCATGTGTCCTCCTTGGCCTTGTGTGAGGCCTTTTAGACTTGCTGAAATGGGCAGCATCTTTCCAAGACCTTGTTCCCCCAAACAGCTCATGCACCATTTTTCCTCCCAGGCTTTCGCAGTCCCTGTTGTTCTCCCAGCTGACACGGTGGGCCATGGTGGTGCTGGTGAGCACTTTCATCTTCAGGGTTCTGACCGACACTCTGTGTGCCGACTTCTACACTGCGAGCGAGGCCTGAGTGAGGAGACACTGAGTCCGGCGGCTGTGTGGTCCCTCAGGGACTCCAGGCTCACCACAAGAGATGGCCGCACTCCTTGGAAATAATGTCCAGCTGCTCCCCCGGCACCAGCCCCACCCCAGGACCTGCACTGTTGTCCTCAGGTCCACATCCAGCTAGGACAGGTGGGGGAGGATGGCAGAAATGCCTCAGAGCCTGCTGGGTCTGCTGGTTTATTCTGGCTTAACTGTTCCCTCTCTGTAATGCAGTGTCCTCACCCTTTTAGCACCAGGAATGCGTTTCTTGGAAGGTAATTTCTCCACGGCCACAAAGTGTTTTCAGAGTTAGCTTCTCAGAAGGAGTGCACAGGCTAGACCCCTCACAGGTCACAGTAGGGTTCTTGTTCCTCTGAGAATCCAGTCCCACCGCGGATATCAAGGAGGCGGAGCTCAGCAGTGAGTGATGGAAGCCTTGGAGCCGCTGTGAATACAGGGGAAGCTCCACTCCCTAGACCCCTCTCCCCTCCTGCTGGGCTTCGGGGCTCCTAATATGGACCGTTACCACGGACTCCTGACCCAGGGAATGTTCTCCACAGGGCAGATAAGTTGCCAAGGTTTTTGTTGTTGTTTGTTTGTTGCCAGTTTCTGTGTCTTTGGCAGGACAGGCCCTCAGGCGCGCCTGCTCCAGTGTTTCTACAGCGTCGCTCTGGGCAGGGATGACGGGGGCCGGTCCTCTGGGGGCACGGTCAGCACTGGGCAGGAGAGAAAGCTGCAACCTTACTCAGGAAGTTCCACTCCTGGGAGGCCCGCAGCAAGAAGACTGGCACTTGTGCCAGTAGATGCATGGTGAGGACACACTCGTGGGGTCACCTGTAACAGTCAAACTGAGGTTCTGATGCGACCCCCATGCTGCCCGGATCTCACTGAAGAGCCGTGCACCTTGAGGGTGACCACAGTGACACGTGTTCCCCACTCAGATGGCAAGGAGAGCGCCCTGTGAGGTCCACACTGCGTGCTGTGACACCCCACTGCTGTGAAGCTCTCTCGGGACCCCTCGTGGGCAGCGCAGTGAGGGTCACCTGGCCATAGCCTCTGCTCTGCTATTGTAGTTCCGGATAGAGCCCTCAGATTCACTCAGGGTGGTGGAAATGCACCTGGACACACGTCCTCACATGTGCCCCATGTCACGTTCCTGCCGCATTCTGGGTTCTTGTGCCATTCCCTGTCCCCACCCCAGCCTGCAGGTGGGACTGCATCTTTGTCCTGTGCATGCTGAATGCTGGGCAATTTTGAGTACGTGGACCATAGCCCAGGACAGCCTCCCACTTTCTGTGGAGCACCCCTGGGTCCCGGGCCAGTGGAGGCCAGCACCTCCCTGGTCTCCCCCCTCCAGCTGAGCTGTGGCCAGGTCACCTCATGACTCCTGGACCCTGGGCAGTGTGGCATCATCTGCATGGGGTAGATGTTCCTCAGAGCCGGGCAGTGCCCCTGGGATGGTCCCTGGTCTCTACAGACCAGCAGAGTTGGCCAGGGGCTGACAGCAGACACCGAATGAGGGGATGGGGTGTCCAAGTCACATGCAGAAGCCAGAGGGCCCAAGGGCCAGTGTCCAGATCCAGGACTGGGCCTCTGCCCCTCCCACCCCTTGTGCCATCAACACAGAGACAGAGCATGGGCGGCGGAGGTTTTATTGGTGCTCAGGGACCAGCAGTGACACTGCTGGTTAGACTGGGAGGAATGATGCCTGGGATGCAGCCCGCATACCATGGGCCAAGAGTAGGGAGGAGTTGAGGAGGCTCAGGTGCCCACAAGAGCTGTGGGGGTGGGGAGGAGGAAGAGGCAGGGCTGACGTTCTGAGGGGCTGGTCAGGGGCAGCCGGGCTGAAGGGCACTCAGTGTGCAGGCTTGCAGCGGAGGGTAGACAAGATGGGGGCGGAGAAGAGGACATGAAAAGAAGTGAGACGTGTTATGTGCGTGTTCCTACTGCCTGTGATGAATGTGCTCCTTAGAGACTGCAAACGTGGTCCAAGAAAGGATGGCGGCACGAAATGGTACCCACTGTCTGACCTGCCTGTGGTGAGCCTCAGGTTCTAGGAACACGCCTAGGGCTGGGTTTCGGTGAGAAGTTGGTGTGAATAAAGGTATAACCTTCTCCCTTCTACCGAGTTCTAGTCCCCGAGCTAAAGATTCCTCCTCTGACCTGGGTCCTTGAGCAAAACCGGGAAGTCCCCTGTCCCTATGAATGGCTACTGGGCTGGCACACTTACGCTTGGCATTGAATAGCTTTGCCGAAGGCAGAGGATGGAAACTAAGGTGGAGGGAGGGCCAGCGTGCCGACGCCCTCACAAAGCAAGGACAGCTCCGTGGCCAAAGTAACGAAGCACACAAGGGAACAAGGCCAGGAGCAAGAATGGCAGAAACTGCAGAAAACAAAAACACATCGTGGAGACATCAGGTGTTGAAAATCCCACACAGAGGTCACAAAGAAACTGTCTTCAGATAGTCACGAAACAGACCAGATCGGCATTGTCTTCCAGGGATGAGAATATTTATTTTATGGGGTAACAGAGATAGTGGGCGGGGGAAGAGAGGGCAGAGGGAGGGGCGAGGGATGCTGGAGAGCTGGCTGGGGTCCAGGGACTTGCAGTGTAGGGCACACAGAAGACCTGGGCCAAGGGCCAGCGGGCAGCAGGCCCCTCTGTCCCTGACTGTCACAGGGATCCTGCACGGGAGTCTCCATGGCAGACAGGCTCCCCACACGGGGCTGGCAGGGATGATTATCAAGAGCGAGCCAGGCACCATGGGAGGGGACGGCTGGCCTTGTCTGTGGCATAATCAGCCTGGGCGCAGCTCAAGGCCAGGAGCCCAAAGTGATACCCCTGCCACGTCCGAGCTCTGCATGGTTTGCCAGGTGTGCAAAGGACCTGGGGGAGGGCACAGGGCTGACTGTTTGCACATGGCAGGTCATCCTGTGGGGAGGACTCAGTAACCACCAGCCAGCCTGGATGCAAAATAGGGTTTGGGAAGCTACAGCTCAGAGGACGCTGGGAGCTGCCAGGGTCCTGGGCTCAGCACAGCCTGCACGGTAGGGGTGGGAATTCTGGGGCTGAAAAGGTCCAAGGATGAAGGGTCAAGTCAGAGTTGGTTTCAGGGCAACTGAAGACTGGAGCATGGAGTTGGTGTGAATAAAGGTATAACATGGAGACTGGAGCCTGCCGGCCCTGCGGGATGAGGCCAATCAGCAGCAGGACTTCTGGCCCAGGGAGAGGCCACAGCAGGCCGGGCGGGGGCAGGTGGGACGGCAGAGCAGGGACACGCAGGAGGATGGGCGGCAGCAGCTGGGCTCACAGGAGGAGGTACAGCAGGAGGAGGCAGGCACACAGCAGGAGGGTCTGCACACGGGGCGGCAGAGCAGGGACACGGAGGAGCAGGAAGGTGTGCAGCAGACGGGCTTGCAGCAGACGGGCACACAGCAGGATGGCTGGCAGGGGGAGCAGGAGTAGCAAGCTGGCTGGCAGCAGGAGGAGGAGGCACCTGAGCAGGTGGGTGTGCAGCAGACAGGTGTGCAGCAAACAGGCTTGCAGCAGACAGGCTTGCAGCAGACAGGCTTGCAGCACACAGGTGTGCAGCACACAGGCTTGCAGCACACAGGTGTGCAGCAGGCAGGTATGCAGCAGGATGACTGGCAGGGAGAGCAAGAGCAGCAAGCTGGTTGGCAGCTAGACTGCTGGCAGCAGGAGGAGGAGGCACCAGAGCAGGAAGGCGTGCAGCAGACAGGTTTGCAGCAGACAGGTGTGCAGCAGACAGGTGTGCAGCAGGCGGGCACACAGCAGGAAGGCTGGCAGGAGGAGGAGCAGCAAGCCGGCTGGCAGGTGGAGCTGGTACAGCCTGACTGGCAGCATGGGGTGCAGATGAGGCTCAGGCAGGGGGCTGAGGTGCAGCAGCTGGGCTGGCAGCAGCTGGGCTCACAGCAGGAGGGCTCGCAGCAGCTCTCTGGGCAGTCGTCCACCTGCCAGGGCTCGGTGCAAGCGCTGGAGCAGACGGACATGGTGGAGGCGGCCATGGCGGGGTCGGGCTGGGGAGGTGTGAGTGAGTGAGTGAGTGAGTGTGTGAGTGAGTGAGTTGTGTGTGTGAGTGTGGATCCTGGCAGCTGCCCTTTTATACCCCTCTGTGCTCTTTGTGTTGTCCCAGGGGTGGCTTAGTGAAGCCTTCCTCTTCCTGGTTGTGTTTGGAGTTGGCCTGTGTCTCATGTCTCCGGCTCAGTGTTTTGGCTGCTGCTGGCTGTAACCCTGGCTGGGCCGTGCTGAGTCAGGGCTTTCCTGGGTCAACCAGCAGGATGCTTTGGTTGTATCCGTGGGCTCTCCAGATGCAGAGGCGGCAGCAATACAGCAATGGTGGGGGTGAGGACTCTGCTATTCCAGGACGTCGCTTCCTGTGCACACAGCTCTCACCTGGCTGGCAGGAGGTGGGAGAACTCAGGCTGTGGTGCTCGGGCTCGGCCGCCCAGCCTCTGGCAAGGTGGTCAAGGCTGCTGCCCTCTGTGTGCATAGGGCACGTGTCCGCCCTGGGTGACCCCTGGCACAGGGTGAGGCTGTGTTGTCCTGTGGCAGAGATGGTTCACAGAGAGGGGCTGAGACGACCAGAAGGTGCTGATGCAGTTTGCGTCTTTCCAGTCTCACTTCCCAGAATGCTCCACGGCAAGTGTGTGTGCAGAGCTCACCCCTGCCTCCTCTCTGCAAGGTGCCAGCAGCTTTGCCTGCAGCCCAGTGCTCGGAGTCCCCAAGGCCCCCGTGTGCAAGCCCTGCCTGCTCTCCGCCCTTGGCAAGCCCCAGTGTGGCCTGGAGCCTGCTGCCAGTGGTGGCCCCGCTGCTTCCCTCAGGGAGCAGGGTCTGGGGCCCACGGGCCTTGTCCTGCAAAGACCCGCATGGCTGGAGGTAGCAGCCCATACTGCATCCCTGGAGCTGGACTGGGGAGCACTGGGGTTTGGTGACCACCTCCTGTCTGCATTCTGTGGTCACTCTGCCAAGTCTCTCAAGGGTGAGTGGCTCACCAGTGTGTTGGGCTCCTGGGTGCCTGTTGGAGCCAGTGTGCTGTGGGGCTTGGGGCACCTCTGCCCTCTGAACAGGGTGTGGGTCACCGCTGGAGTACTACTTGGACAAGGCAGGTAGGAATGCAGAAAAGATTCTTCAAATGGCTCACAATTTGCTAAATGTATGGAAAAGCAGCCGTGTGCATATTCAGGAAAGTCAACCTACGCCAAAGGAGAACGCACGAAAGATGCACAAACTGACAGATCGTAGTGAAAAGACTGCATGCTAAACCAAGGGGGAAATCTGATAACAGCCAGAGAAAGACGGTGGGTCGCTGACAAGGGAACTGCAAGGAACGAAGGCTGATTTTCATTAGACCCTTGCAGGCAGCAGGATGGCTGTTCAGATTCTCACAGAAAAACGTGGTGTACCAGGAACCCTGCACCCAACCCAAACTACCCTTCAAAATCAGAAGCAAAATAAAGATATCCCAGAGAAACAGAAACTGGGGGTCCTGCTGCTGGTTGCACACTGTGGGGGACCCAGCGGGAGTCTTCAAAAGGAGGGAGTGTGACGTCAGGCCCAAGGCAAATCCCACGCAAGCCCAAGGTCACCAGAGAAGGGGACCACGGGTCTGTGGAAGACAGTGCAGATGTGTACTCTCTCCTTGCCTCTCTTACCTTATTAAAAACACAACTGAGTAGAAAATGTGTTGATGGGCCCATAACAGATGGAAAAACACACAGGAGGTGGGTGGGGAGCAAAGCCATAGTAGGCAAAGGAAATCGCCCCAGATGGTAGTTCAAATCCACAGGATAAAATGAAGGGAGTCAGAGATGAGAAAGAGGAGGTTAATATAATAAAAGTTATAAATGTGTCATTGCATCATTGTTCTCCCTTTTTCTCTAAGATTCTCTCAAAAATCATAAAATTATATAAAGTAATAACTATTGCAATCTGTTCTTGGGTTTTTAGCATTTATATAAAACATGCATAACAACAAGACCACTAAAACAGCAAAAAGGATCAATGTTATATAGGAGTATTGTTTTCATATTTCATTGGAATTGAGTTAGTACAAATTGGAAGTTGATTCTGATAGGTTAAAGTAAGTTTTTGACATGCAGTAGAGCATCCCCTAAGGAAACACTTAATGATGAAAATATCATTAAAGAAGTGAAAATTTTACATTAGAATATATTCACTTAGTACAAAAGAAGGAAGTCAGGGATGCGTGACCAAAAATAATACGAGACACATAAGAAATAAAAGGCAAAATATATACAAATCCACTATAATCGATTCTCATTGTTAATGGCAGTTATTTTATATATAGTGCTATGTGCCTGTGATCCGGTACTCGGGAGGTGAAAGCAGGAGGATTGCAAATTCGAGGCCATCCTGGGCTACATACTGAACCTCTGAGTCCAAAAAAACAAAAACCATACAAATAAAAATGGAAGTCACTGCAAATACTGAATTAGCAAATACTGTACCACTGCTCCTAGAGGAGACACAGAGCCTCTGGTCCCCCTTTCAACTGATCAATATATAATCTTATTTCAAGCATGTTATGATTCGGGTTGCAAACGTTCCTAAAGGAAATCTGATGGGCTTTGGGGGCTGACTGGTTCACAAGGGGGGCAGTGGATTAAGCCACTGACGGGGCTGCAACTTGATGGCTTTGTTGGGAGGAGACAGAAACAGGAGGTGGGGCCTAGACGCAAGGTGGGACCGCAGGGGTGTGCCTGCCTGGGGCTCCATCTGGCCCCGCCCCTTCCGCTCGGGCCCTTTCCCTCTCTCTGCTTCCTGGCTGCCCTGGCTGAGCAGCTTTCCTACCACACCCCCTGCCACAATGTGCACACTGGCACAGGCCTAAAAGCAACTGAGCCGGATGACCATGAGCTGAAACCTCTGATACGGTGAGCGCAAACAAGTCTTTCTTCCTCTGAGTTGTTTTCTCAGCTATTTGGTCACAGTGATGGAAACACGGCTAATACAAAGTATGTTTGATAATTATTGTTTGTTCGTTCACCTTGAGCCATAACCAACAGCACCATGACTCATGCCTGAGTGTGCAAACATACCTGCTTCCCTGTGAGGGGCATCGCAGTCTTTTCCCTGTGGGGCACTACGCCGTGCTTCGTCACTATACCAAGGGACCATTCAAATACCAAAATCACCAAAAAAAGTTTTTAATTAAAAAGACACAAAAATGTGAAAACTGTGACGCCTGATAGGCTACAAAAAAGATACTCATTTATAGCTTGAGAGCTGAGATAAGAGTGTGGGAGGTCACCTTATTTAGATCTGCTGGCAACATGATGTGGGGAAATATTATTTCTATCATCCCATGCATATCCATGGACGGCCATGAAAGCACACCAATACTGATTTGGGTGTTATAAATCAATTTTAGCACTTAGGTGAGTATACAAAGGCAATCCCTACCAATGAGTGTCAACTTTATATCAATATCATTAAATGTGAATGAGATAAATAATTAAATCAAGAGCCAGAGATTGTCAGACTAGATTTTCAAAAAATAGGTTTCAATTAGATACTGTCTACAATAAGCACACTTTAGATTCAAAGATGCAAATAGATTGAAAGTAAAATGATCAGCTGGGCATGGTGGTGCACACCTGTAATCCCAGCACTTGGGAGGCTGTTAGGAGGATCACTGTGAGTTTGCGGGTAGCCTGGGGTATGTAGTAAGTTCAATTCCAGCCTGAGTTGCATAGTAAGACCCTGTCCAAAAAAGAAAAAAAAAGTAAAAGGATGGAAAGACAGGTATCTGCAAACAGAAACCACAAGAAAACTAGAATGGCTAAACTAATGTCATAAAATAGACTTTAAGACCAATGTTTTTGCTAAAGAGATATATTTTCTACATAAAATGATCAACCTATTAGAATGATATAACAAATATAAACACATATGCAAATAACAGAGCTCCAAAGTGCAATGGTAAAAACTGACAGAAGTGCAGGGAGCGATAGAGAATTCCACAGTACTGAAGATTTCAGTACACTGGTTTCAAAAACGGGTAGAAAAGCTAGGTAGAGGGTCATCAAGAAAGAGAAGACTAGAAGAACACAGTAAATCTGTGCGACCTACTGGATATCTGCCAAATGCGGCCACCACAGCATATGTACTCCCTGACACACGCATGGAGCATGGACCGGGCAAGAGGATAAAGACAAGGCCAGACATGTATTCTGCAAATCATAGAATGCAACTAAAAATCAACAACAGAAAAAATTGGGAAACTCACAACTATGTGGACATTGAACAATGTACTCCTTAAATGACTGAAGTCAAAGGGGAAATCAAGGAGAAAATCATACAATAAATTGAGATAAATGAAAATGAAAACCAAAATGCCAGACTTCATGGGAGGCAGCAGACGTGCTACTCTGAGAGACATTTATAGGTTGAGATATCTATACCAAGAAAAGTCCAACAAATCAATAATCTAACCTTCTGCTTTAAGACTCTGGAGAAAGAAGAAGACACTAAAACTAAAGCCAGCACAGTCAAGGAGATAATAAAGACTGCAGCAGAAATGAATGAAGAAGAAAAACTCATATGATTCTTCACAGACTCTTGAAAACTAGAAAAGCAGATGATACTTCTTGACTGGTTCTCTGAGGTCAGTGTTACTGCCCTACCATCCTCAGATAAGAGAATCACAAAAAAACTATAACCAACATCGCTCATGATATGGATGCAAAATCAGCAAAACACTGCCAAACTGGATCTAGCAACGGACAAAAGATTTTAACACTGCAGGTACCGTAGTCTGGGTCTGAAATGTCCCCAGAAGCCCTTGTGCTGAAAGCCTGGTCTGCTGTAGTGCTGTGGGCAGTGCAGAAGCCTTAGGAGGTGTGTCTGGTGGGAGGAGTTAGGTCAGAGGCGTGCACCCTGGGGCATCGAGGTCCAGCCCTCTTCCTCCTTTCTTTGCTTCCTGGGAACCATGAGGTAAGCAATATCCCTGCCATTCACTCCCCACTATGAGGTGCTGCTTCACCACAGGCCCAAAGGCAGTAGGACCGAGTGACCATGGACAGAGAGCTTGCACCGAGCCAAAGTAAACCTTCCCTCTTTATGAGGTGATTAGCTTGTGTACTTGTCACACTAACACAATGGCCAAATGGGATATATCTATGGAACAAAAGATTGATTTAACATCTGAAAAATCGATTAGTGGAATAAAACAATTGATAGAGCCAGAAAAGATGCATGGCAAAGTCCAATGCTCATTCAAGAAGGGAAAATGTAGCAAGTGAGGAATAGGGGGAATCAGAACACAGTTATAGGACACAAGATACAAAATATACAAAAATCAATTGTACTTTACACACCTGTACTTACTTTATACATCTGTAATGCACAAGTCAAAAAAGTCACATTAAGGTAACAATTCTATGTACAGCAGTATCAAGGAAAAAATACATAGGCATGAATTTAACAAATGAATTGCAAAATTTATATTCTGAAAATTATAAAACATTATTTTTATTTTGTTAAAGCTGTAAATCAATGGAAAAAATCTCATATCCGTAGGCCAGAATTCTTAATTCTGTTAACGTGGCAGTATTGCCCAAGTCAATCTACACAACTCTCCAGTTCCTATTAGGAGCCAGCTAACTTTGTAGAAATTGTCAAGTTCATTTTCAAATTAATGTGGGATTGCAAGGGCACCAGAATGAACAAAACACACAAGAAGGAGGAAAAGGAGGAGGGGAAATTGAGCAACTCACAACTCCAAATTATCACATTTATGACAAAGCTGTAGTGGCCAAGACTGTATGGTACTGGCATATAAATAAAGAGATCAATGGAATAAAATGGAGAGGCTGTAAATAAACCCACATATCTACCACCCATAAATCCAATAATGATGCAAAGACCTTTTAATAGGGAGGAATTAGTCTCTGACAAATGGTGTTGGGACAACTGGATGTGAAAGAGTGAAACTGGGCTGGGAGTGAGGCTCAGTGGTAGAGTTCTTGTCTTGCATGCGCAAGGCCCTGAGCTCAATCTCCAGTACCACAAAAGAAAGAAAGAAAGAAACTAGACCCTACCTCACACCATGTGCAAAAACTAACTCAAATGGACCTGAGACTTAAATATAAGCACCACATGCCCCGCTGGAGGCGCCTGCAGGAGTCATCATGAGCCACCCTGAATCCTAAACACGAGCTCATGCTTATCGACTGGGCACTGCCCCAGGACTCGTGTTTCTGTGTGTCTGCATGTGGCGGGTGTTTTATGTGTGTGTGGGCATGTGTTTGTGCCCACATGTGTAGTATGGGTGTATATCTGTGTTTATATGCATGTACATCTGTGTGTATGTTCTATGTGCGTGGTGTGGGTGTCTGTGTGTCTATGTATGTACATCTGTGTGGTTGCATGGTGTGTGTGTGTGTGTGTGTGTGTGTGTGCCTGTGCATCTCTGTGGGGTATGGGGTGTCTGTGTGTAGGAATGCGAAGACAAATGCCACGGGTCCCCACCTCCCAGGCCAGTAGGGAGGAGAAGGGGTGGGGGGGCGGCTGCACGCCAGGAAGGCGGCCTCCCCTCTTCCTCCAATCCTCCTCCCTAGAAGCAGAATCACCAGGACAACCTTATGCCACCCAGGGTGACCCACACTCTGCCTGCACACGGCCAGTGCCTTATCTCATTACCCAGCAAGGCAGCAAGGCAAGCACTCTCCTTCCCGGGTGCAGAGGGCTTTGACAGATGCCTGCTGGGCACGTCGCGATCAGCCTACCCTCTGCACGCGCTGCTCTCGGGAACATCACAAAGGAAAATCAGGGCAACCAACATGTAGAGACAAAGCACTACTGACCTTGGGTGGAAGGCTGGGAACCTTCAAGGTCACGACGATGGAAAACTCCTCGGGAAAGAGGTCGCATCTGGAGAAAATCCTCGAGGCAGGGAAACTCACTGTGCGGGGCGCGGCAGCCGAGAGCTGCAGGCCCCGCACGCCCTGCGCCTGTGTCATCTTGATTTTGCCCACGGCGCCATTCACAGGGACCACCTCTGCCAGGATGTCCAGGGGACGCAGGTCTGTGTCAAAGACAGCACAGGTGGGTTAGGCAGGGCAGCGGGGAGGTGACGGCCTGGGACGGGACGCCTATGCGGCGGTCTGTCCTGGGCATCTCCTGCGTTTCAGTGTGAAAGCTGATCCAGCGACCATGTCGGCCCTCACTAACAGTGATGGCTAATACAGCCAGAAGGACACAGAAGAGGGGACGACACACGCGTGCCTGGCGACAACAACGGCACTACAGATGGGCAGCACGGCTGCGGCCTCCTTGCACAGGAGCTGCTTCTCCGAGGATGTCTGCCCCGGGCTGGTTCCGCCCTGCGATTGGTCCTGCTTCTCACCACCCTCTGCAGCCCTCCTTGTACCTGGACAGATCCCTTGCTCCCCTCCCCGAGTCCGCTGCAGGGGACCCTGCCCAAGCGCATGCCCAAGCCCATGTGCTCTGCTGGTGGTGCCCGCAGGGGTGTTGGGACGACAGTCAGCACCCTTTCAGGGCAGGTCGCTGAGGGGTCAGCACGCCCACGAGAGTCGGGGTGGCAGTGGGGCCTGGGCCTGAAGCACACAGCGTCCCTTGCAGGGCTGCAGCCTGCCCTGGTGGCAGGTGTGCCTGGAGGCCCTGTCCGTGCTGCACTGCCCAGCGCCCCAGGCACTCTGTCCCTTGGGAGAGCAGTGGCCTGCCAGCTGCCAGGGCTGCTCCCTGGGGCGCTGCTGCAGGGGAGCAAGCAGAGAGGCGGCAGCAGGCAGGAGGCAGAGCCCAAAGAGAGGCTGGGGCAGAGCCTCGAGAGCCCTTTTTCCTCCATCAAATCAAAGAACTGCAGACCAGGTCCCCCGAGGAGAGGGAGGGGCTGCTGGGCAGAGGTTGACACAGAAACGAGGGATTTGTGAGGACTCAGGGTCGCCCCCAAACCCTGGGCCACGGCAGAGGGAAAAACAGCGACATCCCGGAACCAGACAAGCCCGCGTCCTTGTTCTGGCCACAGCCCGCTGTGGGATTCGCCCTGACACAATAACTACAGCTCACGGCCAGAAAACGCGGGCCGGGCCCAAAGGAGGGGCGTTAGCAGAAACAGCGCTCTGCTCAAGCGTCCAGATCCCGAAGGACCGGGGAAGGCTGGGGGCTTGCGGCTGGCAAACACTGGAGGGACCGCGGCGCAGTGCCCGTGGGGTCCTCCAGGGGGCGCTGCGTCAGAGCTGAATCCTGCCTCAGTGGATCACCCTGGATCTGGCAACAGACCATGAGTACGTCCTGGACAACACCATGGAAAAAAAGAAAAAAGATGAAAAGCAAAAGTGAAAAAAAAAACCCACCATGAGAAGCCATGTGGGCTCTCATGGGCACTTACCACCACTCCAACAATGGTAATTTGGTAAAATGTGAAAGGTCACCCCATGCACTGAAGCCATGTCTACACACGCATGTGCTTTGGGACCCACATCCTGCAGCCCTGGTTCCTGTCCTCACCAGCTCTGGACTGGAGTCCGTGGGCAGGTAACAGCCACACACTGAGCTGTCTTCCCCCAGAGCACATGAGTGCTCCCCTGACCCCAGTGTCTGTAAGGTGACCTTGGGGACAGGGCCGTGCAGAGGATCGGGTCAAACGAGGCGTGGGCGGGCTCTGGTCCGGCCTGACTGTCCTTAGGAGGCGCAACTCAGACACAGTGACACAGGGCAGAGACCGAGTGGAGACGGAGGCCCATATGAGCCAGGGACAGTGGCAGTGGCCGTGACACCAGGAGCCAGGACAGGCCCTCCCTCAGCCACGAGGGGACTGCTGCCCTGACCCCTGAACTTGGACTTCTGACCTCCAGGCTGAGGCTGGAGTTCGTTCAACTTGACACACAAGCACACGACCCACACGACTTGCACTCAGAAACCACGTAAGCGTCCTTCTCTGCCCTGGGCAGGACCCGGGTCAGCAGCCCAGGAAGCAAAGCTGGCAGAGACCACGGGCCACGTGCTCCTGTGCCCAGCACCCGCAGTCATGGGGGAGGGGAGGGGAGGTTGGCCCAATAGCACTGTGTAGAAACCCACAGGTCCCACAGCTTCCCCTGATTTGCTCTCAGACAAAAAGTTAGGACCCCCACGCTGCCCCAGTCCTCTCTGGGGTTGTGATCTCAGCGACAAGACAGGCCACAGAGTGATGGCTGCTGTTTGCCTCCAGGAAGCAGCTGGGAACACACAAGGAAGGAGGAAGGAGGAAGGAGGAAGTTGTGGGGCCTGAACAAGGACAGGACAGTGCCACCAGGGAGGAGGATAAAAGGCCCAGAGACTTCTGCTTCACACACTCACACTCACTCACTCACACTCACACACTCACACCTCCCCAGCCCGACCCCGCCATGGCCGCCTCCACCATGTCCGTCTGCTCCAGTGCTTGCACCGAGCCCTGGCAGGTGGACGACTGC